GATCAGTTTTTTAAATTTCCAAGTTTTAAGAGGTAAGCCTTTTTCTGGGGGTATTTGCAAGTAAATTTTGGGGGTGAGGTCTGGGAGAGGGTTTGTGAAATAACCACTGATGCCAGAGGAGGCCACTAAGTGAATGTGCTTGTAAAGGTTCCTGTCAAGCCTTCTGCCATTGGGCAATTAGCATGGATGAAAGACCTTTTGGGGGGACAGAACTCTTTGAGGCTTTTGAGGCACTTGGAAGGTCAACTTGGGACCAGGGTGTAGTGTTAAGATTTCCCTCCCTTCATTCTGAGGAGTCTGATACAGTGACATTAGCTAATGAAACATCTCTGGCTGCAGCAGGGAGAGTCTGCACTGCTCCTTTCCAACTCTGGGTAACCCTAACCATTGTGCTTCCCTGGCTAGGCCAGTGACAGATGCATGCTTTCCACAGTAACCCTTCTAGTCATCACCTATGTATTCCCTCTTCCATTCTCTTCAGACCCTTCACTGCCCCTTCCTCGTGACCTTTACTCTGATTTTCTGAAAAGACCTAGGTCAGCCTACTCAGCTCCCTCCCTGCCTCACTCCCACAACTCATCCTCTATATGCTTTTGTTCTGTCTGCTTTGCCATTGTTTGACTTTAGATTCTCTTGCCCCCCTTGACTCCTCCCCCCTTTTCTGTAGATGTTGTCACTTTTGGCAATCTGGCCATGCCATTTCTTAAATGAATTCTCTCTACCCAGTGATTTCCCAGTTGGCACCTCTGGTCCTACTTTATCCTCTGAGTCATAGGCCCTCCTCTTGTAAGATCACAGATCATTCTTGCTGAGACGTAAAGAATTCTGAAAGAAATCTGCACTCCCAAAAGACAACTGTGTTAGCTTTACTGTACAGTACTGCACATTGTGTATGTCTGTTTTTGCACCACAATCACAGAGTTGAGTAATTGCATCAGAGACACAGTGAGTGTCGCTCTCATTACCAGCGCTGCTGCTCAGCCACCACAAATTGCAGTGAGCATTTTATTTTTTACTGTTAGTGCATGCCCATTGTTTTATTTGTTTGTTTGTTTGGTTTGTTTTGGTGAGGCAATCAGGGTTAAGTGACTTGCCCAGGGTCACTCATCTAGTAAGTTTCAAGTGTCTGAGGCCAAATTTGAACTCAGGTCTTCCTGACTCCAAGGCCGGAGTTCTATCTACTGTGCCGCCTAGCTGCCCCATGCCTATTGTATCAAAATAAGAAAAGAAGAGAAAAATGGATGAAATATTATGTTTTTAAGACACAATGGAGTGTGGGTTATTTTGTTATTGAATTCTGTGGCTGAGCATTGTGTTTCCTCTGCAGCGCCACTGTATCTGTGCTAAGGAAATACACATATGTGGTGACATCAGCAGACTCAGCAAGCATTTGTTACCTTATTCCCAACTCACAGGAAACCAACAATAGAAAAATTCCAAAATTTAAAACAATATCACAGTTGAATTTCTTGACAAAATTTTTTTAAAAGGGGTAAGGTTGGAACTAAAGCAAGTGTCCAAGTGGCTCATTACTAAGCCAAGTAAAGAAAGCTGGTGTTGAGTTAATTTAATCATATTTAATTGCAACAGGTGAAGAAATGTCTTGTTTGAGACTTCTTAGCCTTTTCACTGGTATTTGGTAGAATCTATTTACATGAAAAGACATTTTCAAAGATGAAATACATAAAATCTCTGTACAGATCAGTGTTAATAGATGAACATTTGCAATTGATTTTTGATGGTAGAAAACAAAACTTTGAACACCAATTAAGTGATATCTTATTGCCCTCAAAAGAAATCATTTGTTCTCATTAGTAGACTTGTATTACAAAAAAATGTGCTCAGCTAACATTGTATTCTGAATTTCACCAATTAAAAAAATGTGGGGAATTTGTTCTCTCTTATTATATGAGTACCTGTATAATATCCTCAATTTTGCTTCTTGGCCTGAAAAGTCTAAAATATTTACTGTCTGACCCTTTATAGAAAGTTGCTGACCCTTGCTGTAGACCAGTGGTTTCCAATCTGTGTCATTTGCAAGTGGTCTGTGAATTTATAAATAAGCAAATCTGTCTTCTGAAGACTGTCTCCCACATCTGAGAATCTGCAACATCTCTTGATGTTAAAAAGGGGTTCTCATACTCAAAGACTGGGAAGCACAGTCTAGGCCAAACTAAAACTTTCCTAATAATGGTTATGTTTAAGATATTTGTGCCCTGGCTTTACCACAGATTGTACCTGGCATTTCTTGGACATTTTCTTCAGAATCACTTTTAGTACTAAGTATAATACAATATATTTTTTTTTAATTTAGGTATATATGTATGTGTGTGTATATATATGCATATATACACACACACACACACACATTTATATATGTACCTATACATCTGTGTGTATACCATGAATGTGTGTGTATATCATAAGGAGAGGTATATCCTGGGGTGATATTGAGTTCTCCCTCACCCAGACACCTTCAGCAACTCTAGGATAAAACAGAGAAGGCATTTGGCAGTTAGAGCTGTGCATAATCTGCCTTCTGCCTACTTTCCTTATTTCACATTATTGTCCTTTATACATCATACAGGTTTCTTGAAACGCCAGCTATTCTGCTCTTTTCTAAACTGGGCATTCTGTCTCTGGCCTTTGTGCATCTGGGGGAGCTGTCCCTCATGCCTGGCATGCACTCCTCGGTCTCTCTCAGAATCCTTACATTCCTTCAAGGCTTAGTTCAGTTGTTATCTCCTTGATTCCTTCCTTCCCCTGAGTTACTGGTACATTCTCTCTCCTTGTTTTGTCTTACACCATCCTTCTTTATGTGCCTCCCAAATCCCCAGTAGAATGTAAGGTGCTTGAGAAGACTGTTATACCTGCACAGTACTTTGCATTCAGTATGTAATTAATAAGTGTTTGTTCTGATTGAATTATTAAAAGTTGTAAAACTCACTTATCAGAATTTAGACCTTAGTGTCATTCCCTTCAAAGAAGTTACCATGAGAAACTACCCACTAATTCCAGTATTCATCTGGTGCTAAAGTATCTTTTATGGAATGAAGGGATCGTGTTTGTCCTTTCCTGACTTTTGTATTCTCAAAGGTTAGGGGGCTATACCCCTTTCCTTGTGTAATCCTTGCTTCCCTTAATAAACAATTAGAGGAATGAGTGAAAGGTCCTTAAAGTCTTTTTTGATTTGTTGCTATTCTCAGCCAGTATTTCCTCTTGGCACAGGGCTCGTAGTCTTTCCTTCTGTGTAAAAAAGTTCTTTGTCTGAAGGCTTCTAAGCTTTTTCAGTTTCCAGAGGGGGTGGCCTTTTATTTTGGTAGATTGGGATTTGGTATACATTTGTATTATTTTGGTAGATTGGGATTTGGAGAGCATGAGAGAAGATTTCTGGGTCATTTCGAGAGGTGATTTCTAGTCAGAAAGACTTTGTGGGGGAAGGAGGTGGGGTTTGGCATTGGGCCTTAGGCCAGTAACTCCCTATCTCTCAGACTCATTTTCCTTATCTGTAAAATGAGAAGATTGGATGGGGGTGACTTTTGAGGTTCCCTTTGGTTCCAGGCTTCTGTGAACATTATTGTAGAGGCTGAGGCCTTTTTTGTTCCAGTCCCTATCTTTTTCTGACTGTCATAGCAGCAGCCAGGCCCCTCACCAAGTCTTTTTCTTTTAGTAGATGCTACCTTCTCCCATTCAGGCATCCACAAGGATGTCCCTAGCAGCAGGCAGGGTACTGTGCTCAATGCTGTGAGGCATGGAGGAGTGTAAGAGACAGCCCTGCCCCTCAGCAGATTAACAAAGAACATTGCCTTGTCCAGAGGGGACACTTGATGTTTGTGGAGTTGAAGAAAGCTGAAGAGACAGAAAATAAAAACAGAAGTTTATTATTATAATTTACATGCTGCTTTAGCATAGTTTTACAAAGACAGTCATTACATAGTGTGACAGGTCTCAGAGAAACAGATCACTGTGCTGACTGCTAGGGGTACAAAGAAAAGCAGTAACTTGCCCCCAGGGAACTTAACCTGCTAAGTGGGGAGACAAGGAGGAACTCATTAGGCAGCACAAGGTGGCTCCAGAGTAGATGACAAGTGATCTTCAAGGGAGAGGGCTGAGGTGGGGGAGGGGGTGCAGGGAAGATGAAGGAATAACTCATGAAAGGGATAGAAATTGGACTTGGAAGGATGGGGCTAATACTGGAAAGGCGGAGAGGAGTGGAGAGGACATTTCCAGCAGAAAGTTGTAATATACTGATGGTTTGGGGTTTTGTTGCTTAGTTTTGTTTTATAAAGAGCCATAGGAAAGGTTGACTCACTGATTCCATCAGTTACATTTTTGTATACTATCTTTATGCTGTGAGTATGGGTTTGTCTCTCTTAAACTGGTAAATGTAAGTCTAGGTTCTTAAAAGATAAGTTTGTGTGATAAAAGGATTCCTTTAAATAGTAATCTTTATTATGATCAGAGAGCAGCTAGGTGGCACAGTAGATCAGGAAGACCTGAGTTCAAGTGCGGCCTCAGGCACTTAGCAGGCAAGTCACTTCATCCTGTTTGCCTCAAGTTTCCTCTTCTGTAAAATGAGCTGGAGAAGGAGATGGCAAACTGCTCTAGTATTTTTGCCCAGAAAACCCCAAATGGGGTCAGGAAGAGTTGGACATGACTGAAACTAGTGAACAGCAACAACTGTGACTGGATTTAAACCAGTCAGAGATGATGACACTTATATAACATTTTAAGGTTTGCAGAGAACCTTACTTACATTATATCACTTGGGGCATATAACAGCTCTGTGAGATAGGTACGCCACAGATGAAGAAACTGAGGTTTGGAGAATTAAGTGACTTACGGCCACCTAGTTAGTATTAGAGGCTAGACTTGAACCGGTCTTCATGACTTTGTGACCTTTGTCATATGTAACTTGCCCTTTTACACATGAGAGTTGAAGAGCAGGTAATGTGTGCTGTGCCTCTTCTAGATGCTTCTTGGTTCTTTTTTCTCTGCAGGTATTTCATGCATGGTGTGTGTCGTGAAGGGAGCCAGTGCTTGTTTTCACATGACTTATCAACAAGCAAGCCGTCTACAATCTGCAAGTTCTACCAGAAAGGCTATTGTGCCTATGGATCTCGTTGCAGGCAAGAGCATCCCACTATACCCAGCACCTCTGGGACTGGGGCTCATAGAACCCCAGTGTGAAAGTGCCCAGAGAAGGAGAAAGGAGCTACCATCACTTGACTCCTCCTAGTGGATCTGAGTTGGGGCGGTAGAGGTAACGGATGGGGGGTCCTCCTGAGCAAGTGCTGGCAGCTTTCTGCCTTTTAAGCAGAACTCCCCTCCCCCTCAACCCTTAAGAGGGTGTGGCTGATTATAGCCATCCTGTTGAGAACCCATTTCTCAAAACATCTTAACCAACTGGAATTGTTACTTTCCAGACCAAATATTAACCATTATTTTGGGATTATAATCTTGGGACTTCCTAGCATATATATTCCTGGAGAAATTAACTTCCTAATAGTTTTGGGACTTCCCAGGGGGATAAAAACTTCATGGTGAGCTCTTCTGCTTTTAATAACTATTCAAATTGTGCAATAATAATTAGATTGAGTTTACAAGATTTTTTTTTATCACAGAGAGTCACCATCTTCAAATTGGCTTACAGATTTAACGTTTTTTAAAAATTAAAGTAACTCTGTTCACTTAGCAAAACCAGGGTATATGTACTCTCTACATCTCTTGTTTATTTCTAAGTTTAAAAAGGACCTTTATTTCCAAAGTGGTTTTAGGTGTGTGTTATTTTATATTTATAAATATCCGAGAGAGAGAGAAGGATGCTGATGATGATTTGTAATTAGCAAATGAGGAGACTGAGGGGTGGCCTAGTCACAGTGTGCCCAGCCCTGGGCCTGGATCAGAACCGAACTCCAGGCCCAATCCTTTTTTACATTATGTCACACGGACAGCTTATGAGCCAGTGTTGAGTGATGTGTATTTCTCTTGCAGTGAGAGCTCCAGAGCATTGTGTCTTCAACATTTTTTAAGCACCTGCTGGGTTCCAGGTAGTAGAGCAGTCCCTGTCCTTGAAGTGCTTCTGCTCTGTGTGTTTCTGAATACACACAGACAGTAAAGACAGTAGCTCGGAGGGAGGATGCTGGCATGGGGGATCAGGAAAAGCTTTCGGGCGCCGTGTGTGCCTTTTTAAAGGCAGAGAGGAGTTCTGTGAAGCTGGGGGGAGGAGGGATGAGGGAGGCAATCCTGGAGGAGGGGGCAGTGCCCACGGCAGCCTCTCCGGAACCGCAGAAGCCTCTATGTCTTGGGGTGGACGGATGATTGCTAGTCATCGAATGCTTGCTCTTAATTGTAGGGTTGGGAAACTGGGACTGGAAGGGGCCTTAGAGACCATCTCATCCAACAGATGAGGAAACTGAGGCCCTGGGATTTGAAGGGACTTGCCCACGGGGACAGAGCGAGCAGAAATCAGGCCAGATTTAAACTCGGGTCCCTTGGATCTAGAGCGCTTGTTCTTTAAAAGGCTCACTCTGCTGTAGGACTCGGAGATTTACAAAGCTCTGCACTCATAAAGCCCTGTGAGCCAGGGAGGTAGGGCATGTGTTATCAGAGCAGCTGGAGAGCCACGTGGGAAGCTGGTGGCTGAGCTGGTGCTTGAGCCAAGGTCTACTGACTCCTCAGCCCTCTCTGCTGCAGTACCCACAGACTTGATTATGATTGGATTACTGGCCATGAATGAGTGAATAGCCTCATAGTACACCTGGAAACCATAGCTGCATTTGCAGGGATTCTCTTTCCTAGTTCAGGAGTGGTTTTGTTTTTATGATTATTATTCACTTTCAGGAATTTCTTCTTTTTTCTTTTTATTTTGGTTTTAGATTTTTGCCAAGTGGGTCTCTTTCTATGCCCTGGTCATCACTATTTTTAACCTCAATTCCCATGATGTTTGACTTTCCAGGTCCTCTAGTCCATGCATGTCATTGTACAAATGAGGGAACTCTGAGTAAGAATGGACTCTCAGAGGGCACCAGAAGCCAGTGACAGGTGTTCGTCCCCTAGATGTACTTGAGCCTTTGGCCCCTCGACAGTGGTGCACAGAGCAGAGCCCAGAAAAGCCTTCATCCAGGGCACTTGCGTGCGTGATGGAGAGTGACAGAGTGCCAAATGTCTGTGTCCTTCTCTGTTGTCTGTTTCAGATATGACCACGTGAGGCCAGCAGCGGCAGCCAGCAGTGGCGCAGCGGGTGCCGGGCCTCACAGCCTGCCTTCACCAATTTTTCACAGTCCACACCCTCCTCCTGATGTGACTGCGTCTATAATGAAAAGCAGCTCCCACGAACCTGGCAAGCGTGAGAAGAGAACACTGGTGCTGAGAGACCGGAGTGAGTGGCAGAGCCGGCGTCTGTCCTTGCACTCTCCTTTCCTACCCTCTCTGCACTACCCCCCCTTTGTCATTGGCTTTCTGCACACCTGCTTGTTCCGAATTGGGCATCTTTTATGGAAGAGACTGAGAAACTGTGTTCTACCCAGGGACCAAATTCTCCTCGGTGTCTCCTTCTAGCTTTCCTAGATAGAAAAACCAGACCGGTATGACGAGGGCAATGTAACTGAGTGGTCAGTTAAGTCATTCCTGCCCGGCATTCTGCCTCAAGCGCAGTAGCACAGCTTGAGCTTGAATTGCCTCCCTCTGATTTTATCATCTCCATAAAATAAAATCGTGACCTTAGAACAATTGTCATGTCAGTTGACTGGCAGCTGCCTTCTCCTTTGGTGAGTAGTTATATCTGGGTTTCAGTGCTAAGTACTTGGGATAATTATGACATCTCATCTTCTAACTCTTAACAGATACACTGTCCTTGTTTAATTCTTTATTAATAAACTCTTGTTCTATAGCTTTATTACATGTTTGGGGGCTATTGGAAGGTAGTCTCTATTGAATAGTTTGGGAGAGGGAAAGGAATTGTATGAAGTATTTTTAATGGGTGGCCCTTAGCAGGTGAAGGGGTTTCTGGAACAAACTTTGTCTCGGAAATGGACAGTAGAACATAAAATGCCATACTGGGTCAGACCAGTGCGTTATCTGTCCCAGCATTCTGTCCAGTGTTCAGGGCCACTGAAGTGCATGTGTGGTGGGTGAGCAAAAGTTAAGGTTTATTGAATAGGGAATTCTTGCCGATTAGCTCAGCAGTGACATTGACTTCAGGGAAAGGGTTCCTAAGGGCGTCCTTCAGATTCTCGGGCTATTTTCTGCTCTGTTTATATGCGTATGCCTTGGTGTGTTTTTGTGTGTTAAGATCTGTGTGGCTTAACTGAAGAAAAGACCAGGCCCTGTGCTGTGAGCGACCTGGAAGGTTGCAGTGACTCAAACGATAGCGTGGACATGAAGCCTCATTCCTACTTAGATGCCATCCGGAGTGGCCTGGATGGTCTGGAAGCCGGCAGCTCAGACGGCAACGAGCAGCAGCTGTGCCCCTACGCGGCCGCTGGCGAGTGCCGCTTTGGAGATGCTTGTGTCTATCTCCATGGGGATGTTTGTGAGATCTGTAGGTTACACGTCCTGCATCCTTTTGACTCAGAGCAAAGAAAGACGCACGAGAAGGTAAAGAACAAAATCCCTTGTGCTCTTTTTAGATGTTTTTTAAAGGCAATTCATACTGCATAAAGTAATATAAAGTTGTCAACTTTCCCCGTGCCTGACCAAGACGCTACGGGATTCAGCGATGCCTGTGTTCCTGTGCTTTAGGATAGTGTGTGAAACAGGAGAGCAGTGATGTGAACCTGTTCTAGGAACGAGCATTTGCCTTAAAATTACATGTGAGCTCTAGGACGTGGGCAAAGTGATGTCCATTTTTTCAAATCTGTTTTGACTCACCTCTGTAATGCAGCCAAGCCCATGTCTGTGGGTCTAGCGGGGGGGGGGGTGGGGGGGGGGGGGGGGCAGCTGGGCAGGGCTTAGGGAGAAGGGCTCAAGGTGCTGCTGCCAATCTGTGTAGATAATGGGAGGAAGGTAGTCGAGACAATGCTGAAGTGACTTTGGAACATGAGAATCTTGAGTCTTGTGAAACTTTGTAGCCCTCTCTAATAATGTAAGGGATCTTTCTGTCTGTCTGTCTGTCTGTGTGTCTGTGTGTTGGGGTTGCTCTGAGGAATAGGAGGAGGTAGGCACCGAGAAGAGCCCTGGGCTGCCTTTTGGGTCTGAGCCTGGTCAGAGGTTCTGCCCCCTCACAGTTCAAACTGATGATTCTTCAACCCTCCTGGCAATAGCCTTAGTATACTGGAAAGACCGCAGCCAGAGGAGCCGGGGACCAGAGCTCTGTCCCCTGGTCAGCAGCTGGCTAGGGGGCCATGGGTGTCAGGAACTCATCATCCCTGCCCCCTGCTGAAGTTCAGCCCTGTAGTCTGGCATGGACTCAGTTTATGTTGTCTTCATCTCCTCGCTGCAGAGGATTCAAAAAACTCATCTCTTCCCTTGTTGGCAATACAGCTCTGCATGGCAACCTTTGAACACGATATGGAGAAAGCTTTTGCTTTCCAGGCAAGTCAGGAGAAAGTATGTAACATCTGCATGGAGGTGGTCTATGAGAAACCATCAGCCTCGGAGAGGAGGTTTGGGATCCTCTCCAACTGCAACCACACGTACTGCCTGTCCTGCATCCGACAGTGGAGGTGCGCCAAGCAGTTTGAGAATCCCATCATCAAGTAAGTATCAGCGCACAGGCAGGTAAGTGTCCCTGCAGCCAGGTGGCTGCCTCAATTGGGGAGAGAGCACTAGGCCTGCAGTGAGGTGGATGTGAGCTCAAATCCTGCCTCAGATGATTACTAGCTATGTGACCATGGACAAGCCATTTGGTCTGGCTGCCTTAGTTTCCTCATCTGTAAAGTAGGGATAATAATACTGCCTTCTTGACAGGGTTGTTGTGAGGATAAAATAATAATTTATAAAGCAATAGCACTTTGCAAACCCTAGAACTCTAGATAAAGTGCAAGCTGTTATTGTATTTTGTGTAAATTTTATAATATACAAAATATAACAGCACACTAGTTAATATAATAACAACAGCTAACATATAGTGCCAGGCGTGTGTTAAGTGCTCTACAATTATTACTTCGTTGGATTCTCACAATAACCCTGCAAGGTGAATGCTGTTATCCATCCCCATTGTACAGATGAGGAAACTGAGGTGTACAGTTACAGTAAATAAGTATACATATTTTGGGAGTCCTTGCCTAAAAATGTTTTATTTTTAGGGTTGTGCTTCCTTCCTTTTTCCAAGAATTTTTTTCTCCCTATCCCCTTGGTTCCTACCTACTTTGTATTCCATAGTTTTTTTTCTCAGGTAGTTGAAAGAACAAGTGAGAGACAGGCAGTTTGATGTAATGGAAAGAGACAGAATCCCTAGCCAGGTTCAGTAGTGGCTCTGACTTTAATAGCTGTGGGACTGGGCAAGTCAAATTTACCCTCTTTCCGAAGTTCATTTTCCTCATCTGTATAGTGGAAGTAGCAGTCCTTGCTTACCTGTCTCATAGGACTGCTGTGAGGAAAATGAACTAGTAATAATATCACAGTAATGGCTCTGAGAGACTCCCTTTCTCAGGAGTATTTGCATTTTTAAGAGAAGACTACAGAAAGCCTCATAAAGACTTTATGATCCAAGGGGGGTGGATTGACTAATGGTGGATTATTGAAGGCAGTAAGGAGGTTTCAGTCCAAAGGAGAAGACACTCGGGGAGGGGAGGATGTAACTGAAGGGTTGCCATGCTGGAGAGGAAGCAGCTCCAGCAGCTGTCCTCATCTGTGAAAGGAGGAGTGAGACTTGGGGGGGGTTTGGAAGGGCCCTTTCAACTCCACTTCTCTGATCCCTGTGAACAGGGGCCAACATGGAAGCAGGTGTAGCTCTCCCTTCCTTGGCAGAGGGTGAATGGGCTATCTCACGAGGCAGAGTGAGTGCTTGTTACTTAGAGATGGTCGAGTGGAAGCTCGACAGCCATTTGTCAGGAATCCTGTGGAAGGAGGAGGCTAGACCTGAGGCATATTCCACTTTGGGGATTTTGCCTGGTCTTTGAGTTTAGGCACTAATGGAGGCAATAAAGGGAGATGTTTTTGATAGGGGGCTTTGCCGTGGAATCATCAAGGTTTATCAGAGTTTATTTGTACTGTGTTTTGGGATCTTGCCTCTCCTGCTAGATGGTAAGCATACCTGGAGGGTAGGGTAAACACATCTTGTTCATTGTACATCCTGGCAGTGTTGTGTAAACTCTGAATTGAGGTTGTATGATGGAATTCATGTGTCTTTATCACTGTCACCAAGGGATTTTCCCCTGGTTCTTGCTGCAGTAATATATTCTGGTTTGGCTGCTGGGAGTGAGTAAAGTAACCCCAAATACCAATCCGGTTACTGCATGGGGCTGCTCATTTACCCCGACTTTGTTGATGCTTGTTACAGGTCCTGTCCGGAATGCCGGGTAATATCTGAATTTGTCATTCCGAGTGTGTACTGGGTTGAAGACCAGAATAAGAAAAATGAACTGATCGAAGCCTTCAAGCAGGGAATGGGGTAAGTGGTGAAGGGGCTGCATGCCAGGAGGACCTGTAAAGCTATCCCAAATGAAGGGCTCCGAGCCAGAGCCCAGGCAGGCCCGACCCCCTCAACTCTGCTGCAGCTCGGGAGCACTGCCCCAAGCAGCCCTGGCACGTCTGACAAGGAGGCGGCTCACCTGGCAGGAGACACACGAACCGAGGGATCTTGGCCGAGAGAACGTTAAAGAGAGCTTCTTGTTCCTCCTTGGTGTGAGCCCCTTATAGGTTGGTCTGTTCTGGGTAGATCATGGTATCCTAGACCATGTATCAGGTATCCTCCAGTGAACCTAAAGTCTCTTCTTCTAATGGCAAGCACTTCTATGCACTTCGTGGCTCTGTCCTTCGAAGCCTGATCTTTACATACAGCAATTACTTTGTCCCTCTCATCTTTTTAACTGCCTTAAATCCAGTTGATCTTGGAATCTAGAATTGGGCTTTAGCAAAGGTATACCCGTAAACAAGATTCACAGTGTTTATCGGTTTCATCTCTCCGAGCTTGTTGGATTCATAACTATCTAGCTCTCACTGGTCTCAGTTTCCCTAATATTTGAGAATGGGTTATGATTTCCAGAGGAAGGTGAAGGGTATTTTTACACATGTGTATGCTCAGAAAGGACTTCCTTGATTTCCTAATAATTGACTTTTCTAATTCTGCAGCAACTAAAATAGACTGACTTCAAAGTTTTGTGAATGCCTATGGGATAATGCACTGAGGGGTTGCTATCAGAATAAGAAGTAATGTAGCTGCTGCTACGGCACCCCCATGTCTAACATGGGAAACTCATAGGCCTAGAGGCAGCATCACACTGGGGATTCTAGTCCCATTTCTGCTGCTGACGTACTATGTGATCGTACAAGCTCCTGCTCCTCACTGGGCCCCAGATTCCTCTTCTCTGATTATAAAATACTTTAAAGAAGACATCATCTTGGTCTCTGGAGTCAAATTCAGATGGAAACCAGATCCCTACAGCTGCATGGGGTGTACTTGTAGTATGTAGTTTTATCACACATTGCAGTCTGCAGCTGCCCCATGTCTGACCAAACCTCTGAGCTGGACAATGTACAGTGTCTCTTCCAGCCCTAAGTTCTGCAAAAGAAAAATAAAAATTTTTGATTGTGGTAGATGTTACCTAGTACTTGCATGTAAGAGCTTCCAGGAAGAACTGAGGAGCTGGCTTGTAGGTCAGAGACTCCTTAGTGTCAGGGATGGAAACTGCCTCGTATTGAGGTAGTATGAGGATATCACAGTAACTCTCAGGTTACTCTCAGGCTTGTTGGTTGGAGAGGGAAGGTTGTAGCCAGCATGGGCTTCCTCATCATTTTCGTGTCACAGATCCCTGAGGATTCTTACATATTATAGACAGCTATAATGAGAATGATGGTTTGTTTTGTTTTGAATTCATAATTGAAAGATAAATTTCCATTTTAGATTTTTAGTGAAAATATGTAATTTTTTTCCCCATCCAACTGAATGAACTTCCTGAAATCTGTCTACAGACCTTTGATCTACTGAGTTTATTTGACAGGCTGTCTGGATCTTGTCTTTGAATCACAGACCAGAGCCTTAGCCCTAAAGGTTAGATTATCTCCTTCCCATCCTCTTTCTAAGACAGAGACCAGGCCAGAGAATAAAGACCACTTTTTTTTGCTTTCTTTCTCCTCTCAAGGAAAAAAGCCTGTAAATACTTTGAACAAGGCAAAGGGACCTGCCCCTTTGGAGGAAAATGCCTTTATCTCCATGCTTACCCAGATGGGACAAGAGCTGAACCTGAGAAACCTCGGAAGCAGCTCAGTTCAGAAGGCACTGTGAGGGTAAGGAGCAGGGAGGGTGGCAAGTGGCTGTTTTCCCTTCTTGAGGGCCAGATCGGTATGCCAGGCTTTTAAAAATACACCTTGACCCACCGTTTAGGATCTCTGTGCATCTGGACCCATCTGGGAAGCCAGCATCCAAAGAGATCAACCGAGTCAACAGAAAAGTCGTTTTTTGGGAGAATGTGTCTTGTTTTCTTTCCTTTTTAAAAGCTAGGCTTGAATGCTCTTTGTAGTTATTAGGGGCTGCATTTCATGGTTATTTCACTGACAAGAGCTGGAATGGTTTGGCTTCTTGGCTGTGTGTTTTGCAGTTCTTCAATTCTGTCCGGCTTTGGGATTTTATTGAGGACAGAGAAAGCCGGCACATCCCAGCTGCTGAGGAAGATGATGTAACTGAACTCGGTGACCTTTTCATGCACCTTTCAGGAGTGGAAGAGTCTGCCTCAAATCCTTGAGAGTGAACTGAAGCCCCCTCCCCAGCCCACCCCCTCGCCATCCCATCCCCCAGGCTCTCTGCCGGACCAGGCCTGTGTATTTAGAGAGGGTGTGCTGCAGTTTTACATTTACTGCAACAGTAGTTGATGCGTCACTTGGATTAAGTGAGGTTGTGTTCAACCTTTGTCTGATCCAGTCTCCATTATTACAGCAATGAAAACATTGAAGGCTATAAAATAAAAAATTAACAGAAGTATATGTAATCTCCATTTTCCTGGTTAATTAATTCTCCAGTTACTTTTATGCCTCTGTATGGCTGTCAGCTGAGGACCAGACTAGCTAAGGTTGAAGAGGTTCATCAGCGGGTTGGCCTCAGCATCCCTTGAAGATTATCTACTAAGTCACAGGCTTGTGACCTTCACTGGCAGAGGAGGCACCCACACTGACAAAATGGCAGATCCTTGAGAGAATCCAGCCAGTATCCATGCACATGGTCCCTGCCTGGTGGGGGAAAAAACAAAGGGCCATCCAGTCAGAGACAGTGACTGGCAGCAGAAGGTGCCTTTTCTGCTTGCTGCATTCTTTTGCCCTTCCTAGGTTAGCCCACATGGCGTACATACCCATAAGGAAAACCCAATATATGAACATCCAGATTTACAAAGTAAAGAAACAATGAAGCAGATTCTTTGTATCCTCCCCCCTTGTGCCAGCAGGCATTTTAAATGATCCGAATTTCAAAAATCTGATTTTACACCTTTTCAGGCACACATATCATAGAAAATAAAGTATACCTGCAGTGTAAAACTTAATTTGAGTTTGCCTATTAAAGCTGTTTCAATTTCTCAGGTATGGTCAGTCCATCTAAGCTTTTTTCAGAGTAATATTTATTTGAATATCACTGCACTAACCTGATTAAAGAGTCAGCCAGTGATGCTAGCATCACTTCCGTGATGCCAGCAGCTGGTTTAGCTCAAAATGGCCACAAGGATTCCATTTTGGAAATAAAGATGTGTTGTAAAGGGGCTACATAGTAGGGATACTAAAAGTCAAATAAGCACCCATACCTCACTTCCCTTTGTGAGTTAAGCTGAGAAGTAACTCATGAACAAGTGTAGAAAGAGATCTATCCAAGTTAAGTTTTGATAACATTGCTATTTAAATTCGTACTGAATTAGAGAATTAGCATCCCAGTTTAGAAAGGCTGTAAATGTTCATAATAAGTAGTAACAAATCCCACTTCTCAAGTTTTTTACCCAGCAGTAATTTTTTTTTTATATATTTGATAATACCTGATAACTGGAACTCTAAGACAGGTATTCTCCTAAGGCCAAGTTTAGCACTGCTGCTCAGATCATCTGTTCTTATATGAAGTACATCAAAAACAGTCCAAAGTTCAACATTTAAAGAAAGAAAACTTTAAGAAAGTTTAAGAAAAAAGAAAACTTTTGCACCAAAGAGTTCCTACCAGGTAGAAATGTCTGCTAATGTTAATTTATTAAATTATTAAATTAAATGTTAATTTATTAGTTATAATTTCAATTAAACATTCTTCCTCCACATATATACTTAGGCAGGCTATATACATTTTCATTTTCTACACACCAGGATATTTTTAAACCTATGAATCAGAGTAGCATTGTTTTACATCTAAGGGATGAAATTATTAAGGGTCTGAAAGCTCTTTCCCGAAGCTTCCTCAAGAGTTTTCTTCACCAATAATACAGACCTAAAGCTGGAAGGAACCTTATCTAGTCCAATCATCATCTTCATTTTGTGCATAAGGAAGGAAGGACCAGAGATTAAGTAGCTTGCCCAAGGTCACACAAATGAAGTGAAGAGGACCTAGTTTTCTACCCAGTAGACCACGCCTTTCCCCAGCCCACCCCTCACCCCCAGCCATGCATTGGCCCAAGTCCTCATGCTAGAAGGACAACTATTTTATACTTGAGTTTTACTGATTCCACTTATGTTTACAGTCTTAGAAACTGGCCAAAACACACTTCTAAGCTTATGTTCTAAAATACCACAATCTTCCCATGATAAATGAAAAGGGAGGCCATTAAAACCTAAATTTAACTTATTTTATTAAAATAAGATAAATCACTAGAACCATGGCTTACAATAAATTCATTTTCTCAGGAGCAATAAAAACAAAAACCCAAACCATCAAGAAAAACTGTATATATTCAGTTTCCTTGTTATACGAGGTATGACTGTAAAGCGACATGACAAACGGATTTTTTTTTCTGGGCCAGATACAAATGAAAAATCAATCTTTTTAAACTCATACCTCATATAGTGCATCTCCTGGAAGACAGCTTCAAATTGGTAGGTCACTCTGCTTGTTGAGAGTGGAGCATAGCAATTCCTCATTTAAAAGACAGTCATTGCACAACTGGATATCTCATTGGGTGCAAGAAAGAAGTCTGTTACGTACCAGGGTATCACTCCTTAGGTCAGTAATTGCAGCAAGGCTGTATGTATGGCCTCCATTTGAGAGCAGTACTATGGAGATCAGTTTATTCCTTCGCATGATTGTTTTCTATGTGCAAAACTATCTGGTAACTTGCCATGTTTTAAAAAAATTAAAATTCCTTGGCATGATTAACACTCATTGTAGGAACTTGTATTCAGAATTCATTATCCCCTTTTCTCTGGAGTTGGACTGCCGTCTTTGTCCGGAAATATCCTCTTCAGGATCCCCTCACAAAGAATTTAGCCATTCTTACTATAAAAATACTAATTGATCCAACAAAAATGATCAAGAGAAAACATTGCCAAATAAACACAGCCGCCTCTGTAGAGGAAAATAAGGCTCAAGGGCATCTATTTTTAAAACTCTGGCTTGTATTGCATCTTGTCTGTTAGTTATTGGTAAAATGACACCATTATGACATGACACAAAATGAGTGGAAAACATCTCATTGAGCAAACAAATAGTAGAAAAAGGCAACATGGAGTGATGTCCCTGTAGTACTTGAATTGTAGAAATCTGTAGCAGCTTTTTCTGAAGAAAAAAAAATTCATCTCATCCATTAAGGTAAGAAAAGCAGAACTTTGGGGACTTTCCTGTTGGGGACAATGGTGCAAGAATGTGCCTAGAAAACCGGGAGTCTCGTGGATGTCAGTGTGCATGAGTTTATATCCTCTGTGTGGGCTGCACGGTGCAGAGAGGGTTCGGAAGCACTGCGGTTGATTTTCGGTAAAGAGTGTTGTAGTAACTCAATGGAAGACAATATCTGAAAAGAGGCAGCAAGAGGAACAGATTTCAGACAACTTCATTCAAAATTGTGTTCAAAATGACATAAGGATCCAGAATACACCCCCTCTTCAGCCTGAGGAGGGGTGAGACCAGAGAATCTCTATCAACTCAGAATGGCTGGCTAATGGGGAGGTCTAGGGAAGTCCTTTCTCACCTCCCATCTTCTGGGAGTCCACCCTTGGGCCCTACACCAGGCTTAACAGACATACACCGAAATGGTAGTCAAGCCTCTGAGCAGTTCATACCTGTGGAAAAAGAGGTCTTTCTTCCTTAACTTTCTTCACACAGTCTGCTACAAGCCTCTTCATGGCTTTGGGGCAATTCTTGTATAGCTTACTGAGATCTGGAGATGCATACCCTCGACCAACCATAAATATAATCTACATGATAGATAAGAGATAGGAAGGTGTTATGGCACCAAGTTAACCTTTCATTTCATTAAATATGGGCCCCCATCAAGTCAACTGTTGAATGGACTTTACTATTGGTAGCTGTATTCACCTGATCTCGGTTGTTGATGTGTGAATATGGTAGCTCCCCTGTCATCAGTTCATACAGCACAATGCCATAGGAATAGACATCTGATTGAAAGCTGAATGGATTATTGTCCTGCATGCGGATAACTTCCGGAGCCTGAAAGAATTAATCACTTTCCATTAATGTTATCTGGGGAGGGCTGAGGAACTAGATTACGTTAGAAGCCAATTTTGCTTTCTAATACCCAGGAAATATATTTAGCTCCCATTAATTATGAGAGGAGGCTGAAGGCAGACTTTTCTAGACCTCCCTTACAAATAGTAGCTGTCTTTGGGGGGGAGCGGGGAGAATAATAAAATTGAGGCACAGAGGAAGAGAATGAAGTCTAATCTGAAAATGACTGAGTCATACTTGGGAGAATAGTTGCATGTATAGAAAGCTTAATAGGGAAGCTGTGGGAAGGGATGCCTGGAGTTCACAATTTTGAATTTGCTGAACTTGGACATAGTCAGGTACTAGATAAGTTCTTGGTAAATGAATTGATGATGTGCCTCTTCCAAGAGCCCCCAAGGAAGACAGCTTTACCCAACAGAAGTTGACCCATTCCACTCACAACCAGATTGAGAAACTAGAGTTTTGGCCTTGTTCTTCAGCATCTTAAAAGATATCATCCAAGATTGATAAAAACTATAGTAGAGTTGAACCCACTAAACAGATTTTAACAGTGAAAAAACAAGCTGTCAATAACCTCTAAATGGACTGCCTGCCTCTCTCTCCTTCAAGTGTAGCCTACTAAATGAGCAACAGAAGCTATATGTTCAAGCTGTTATGGGTGACTAGGCAAATCACCGCCTCTCTGTGCCTCAGTTTATATACTTAAAAGGAATAAAAGTATGTACAGAATGAAGAGAAATAAGGTGTTATTTGTGAGATTGTTTAGAAGCAAAAACAAAAAAAAATTAGAACTAAAAAAGCCGAAGTTTTATTTCTCATATAAAGTGCTTAGTTTATTATGTGCCTTAAACTATGACATTTATCAGGCTGAGTTGGACTATACAGTAATTGAAGCAGGGCTAGGTGCTCCTATCTGATCAAATGAGTAAGAAAGCTAAATTTCAATGGAGATTATTTCCTTACCATCCAGAGAACGGAACCTGTTGGCTGTTCCACTTGTTGAGATCCACTCCATCTAGATTTTACTGTTGCCAAACCAAAGTCACCTATTTTCACTGTCAGACCTTCATGAAGAAATATATCTAAAAATGTGTTAAGGAACCTATTTTCAAAAAATCACAGAACTTGAACTGGACCACAGAGTGTAGCCATCTGCCCAGTGCAGATCCCCCACCATGATCTCTCCAACAAGTAATTCAGACTTCTTGAATACTTTCAGTGATAAGGAATTCACTACCTTACTGAGGAGCCCATTCTGTTGTTCTTTACACTAAATTAAATCTCTACTAATTGACCCTGATTTTCTTCTCTAGAGCCAAGCAAATTAGGTTTAACTCGTATTTCTTTGTCACTTATGATTTTCCTATTTTTAAAAGCTAGTTTGTCTGTTGTCTCATTTTGTTTGTATCATATATATAAATAAGTCGTATTAAGCACACATTTGTTGTCCAGCTGTTTCTCAGTTGTGTCTGACTCTTCGTGACCCTTTTGGGCATTTTCGTGGCAAGGATACTGGAGTGGTTTGCCATTTCCTTCTCCAGCTCATTTTACAAATGAGGAAACTGAGGCAAACAGGGTCAAGTGACTTACCCAGGATCACACAGCTAGTAAATTTCTGAGGCCAGATTTGAACTCAGGAGGAATCTTCCTGACTCCTGGCCTAGCCCTCTCCACTGCACCACTTTGTGGTCCTAAACACACAATTTGTATACATATTTTTCTACAACTAATGCTGAAGCTGAAATATTTAAGTTGATCTGGGGTTCTCAAAAGTGATGTGGGTGGAGGGAGGACAGATTATTATGGGCCTCAGTGATAGTGTCTAACCAAATTTAAAGAAGCTCATTACCAGGTTGGTCACAGTGTGGGGATTTTTTTTTTAAGTCACCTTCTACAGAAAACTATATTAGAGAAGGACTTTACCTATGACATTGTAAAAACTATTTTCTTCTACATGAGTTTTGAAAAGTTCTTCAACACACCCTGGACATCCTCCCTTCCCACCTCTGCTTCTCCTTCCATCTTATGACATCCCCCTTGCCCTACAAGGTTCATACCCTGAAAAACTTCCTTCATAGGTGATCCAATTAGCACCTCCAAGTCATACCATGCGTAAGCCAGGAAATTTATTAGCCAGCCTGCTTGCTCTTCGTAGCCTTATTGTTACAAGAGTGACCCATGGCTTCTTCATGTGTCTTTCCCCTGCCCTCTGGATCCTCTACTCTCTTGATTCTTAGGAGATGATGGTATGCCATGATTCATAGGCATGGCAGAAGAGTGGTATTTATTTCTATTTGATAGATTTCAGAGAACAGTGTGAGGTCACTCTGAACATTGTATGATTTCCCAGATGCAATACTCCCATCCCCTCCATCCACTTTTGGTACCAGCATAATGGCCATTATCTCTACTGTATGAGATGGATGAGATGGGTCAGCTCGATAAGCTGTCTAGTCAAATTCGGATTATAGTCTCAAAGGGATGAATTCTTCGTCCACTTGGCTTTTCCTGGGTGAATTTTTAGGCCAAACTATTTTGAATAGGTATGGATCTCAATTAAGAGGCTCTTTAGTTTCCGAGGGCTTGATAATGTAATTCATAAGTCATCTGCCAAAAGGAGTGACCTGAAGGATCTAATCTGCCAAATACCAAATGGACTCTTTCCATGGCAGTGGCAAACACCTTTAGGGAATGTCTATTTTATGCCTTCATTCATATTGATAATCAGAGAACTGATGAACAAGACTTTCTGTAGTTACTTCTATCAAGGAATCTCATATGAACTTAACATATTCACAGGATACATATAATTGGAAGAAAGTCCTTAAGGCTGCATTTTGCTCTACCAAATCAAGTGTTTTAAAAAAAGCAAACAGTAGTCTGTACACCAGATATGTCAAACCCTCCCAGGTACAAATGTAATTGGGAAATTCTTTATAAAAATACAATACAGATAACATTACAATTTAAAACCATCAAGATAAGGCCTTCAGGGATCCTTATGTCCAGATTAGTGGCCTCATTTCTATTTGAGCTTGGGCACTGCTCTAACTGTGGGAATGAGAACTACTGCAGACTAGTTTATGAAAATGTGCCTCACAAAGTATGAAAAAATGTAAAAAGGTCAAAGTATTAAACATTCTTTAAAACCTTTATACTCTTAATAGCCCATAGTCCAATAAAAAAATACTGGAGATGGGGCTGGAGACGTCCAGAGGTGAGGAGCGTTACATATGCTATCAAGCATGATCAATGTGTCAACTGATTATGCCGAGCTCTTTTTAAACAAAGAAAAGACTCATTAGGTAAAGTGGAGTGGTAATAGATTCAGAAATTATTGTGATATAAAAACAAAAGACATCAATAAAACTTTTAAAAAAAATACTTATGAGTTCCATAAAAACATCTAAAAAAGAGAAAAAATGTACCTATTCCTTTCTCATGTTCAAAGATACCCTCAAGAAGTGGGTACATAATTTAAATTTTTTCCCCAATTATCAAGGATTTCCCCACCAATTCCACCTCCCCCACCCTCCACCAGGCAAAAAGTAAAGTCCCTCTAACAAAAAAGCATAGGCAAGCAATAAATAAATAAAAATAATCCCATATTAGCTCTATCCAAAAACATATCTTATTCTGTATCTTAGCAGAATATCACTTGTCAAAATCAGGGGTTATCAGTGTTGGTCTCCTCTTCTACTCATTTCTCTCTGCATCAGTCCATACAGGTCTTCCTGAGTTTCTCTGAAACTTCATTATTTTATCACAAGTCATAGGATATAGGCTTACAACCTGGAATAACTTACCCAGGAAAACTGAGTATAATCTTACAGGGGAAAAAACAAAACAGAGGACCTCTAAGCATTCCTTCATGAAAGACCAGAAACACAGGAGTCGAGAAATATAAAACATAAACATGAGTAAGTGACAAGAAGGGATTACACAAAGAGGAACTGTTTATGTTCTAAAAGAGAGAGATGATATAAGAGTCTCCTCAGAACCCTACTGTTATCAGAGATCATAGATGGAGTTAAATAAAATCCAAGGCTTGGGCATGGCAACTATGTTCTAAAAAATCAATTTCCATTGTAAAATGAAAGGAACAGCAAACTAGACTGAATGTACACTGACCCTAAGCTGTATTGTGGAAGTTGCTATTTCTAATTTTTTCTTGGGGGGGGGAGGGGTGGTGGTGGTGATCATTTATGTCTTTCTTTTAAAAACAGAAAATGTAACAGTTAAAAATTGCCTGAACTATTTAGGACCTACTGTATCTTATGTTCAAATGGTATCTTTATTACATTTCTCCCATTGGATTTCTATTGGACAGGCCTATTTTAGGCCTGGCTTTTTATGGGAGCAGAAGCAATTCCTTGGAAGCTCTTCAGGTCTTCTTGGAGGAGAAGAATTTGCATAGCTCTGAGCCTTTCCTTCCAATGTGTTCCCCAAGTGCCTCCAACTTTTTCCCTCAAGTACGTTCTTATTATTTGCTCTATTATATAATTTTATTTTTATTTGTACAAAAATCTTATTCCGCATGACTCCTATGCTCCAACCAAAATGGATGGTTACCCATCCTGACAGCACCGTACTGTTGCACATGCCGTCCTGTTCTTTGGAATATTCTTCCACTGTTTAAAACTCAGATTAAATGCTATTTTCTCCAAGAAGTCTTCTCTGATCCCTCCAGTCAAGAGATGAAAGTGGTCGAGGAATTGTAGTCTAATCAGAAAACTTCAACCTAAGAATCATCTATCTACTCAATGACCTCTCTGACCCTGGGTAAATCAGTGAAGCTCTTCCCCTCTTTGGCCTTAAATAAGATAGATAAAAACAGAGCCCAGTGCACTTCATATTTCAGATGGTTATAATCTCTGTGTTGTCTCTACCTATGAGATTTTAGGCTCCATGAAAACAGAGACTGTGATCTTTCCATCTTCTCTAGTGCCTAGCAAAGTGATCTGTACACAGACAGCCCTTAATAAATGTCCACTAAACTGAAAAGAATGAAATGATCAAGGTTAGCCACAAAGAGATGAGAAGGCATCACCTGATTCTTTATGGAGGTAGGGGACTATGAATGTGGAAGATACAGGACTTTTTGGATGTATTAGTGGTTTGTTATTTTTTTTTTAATAAGTGATGGTTCTCTGGGACTGTACATTGTGAAATGTAGATGATTTAAAAACAAGATCTCACTAAAAATACCTATTTAAGAAATTAAAAGTGACTATAATAAGAAACTGATGTTTTGTACAAAAATTCTATGGCAACTGTACAGGAAGAACTAGGGAGACAAATGTCCAGCCTCCTACTGTGTAGTCATTCCTCAGTTGTATGAAGACTTCTTCTAGCTCCATGGAGAAGTGACAAAGTATACTTGGATCTTCTTAATCATGGAACCTTCCATATTAATCACATTAAAGTACATAATTAAAGGATACTATTTGATTTCATGTCTCTGTGGATGATGTTCTTTGCATGTAAATAACTGTAAAAGAAAAAAAAAAGCTTGTAAAAATATGTTCATCCTACATGTAGCGAAGAATCAGGTGGCATTTCCAGATTATCATAGAAAGCAAAAGCTCCAAAGTGCAAATAAGGAAACAGTTTGTTTTATCATTGAAATGACTTTACAAGGAGGTGTTTCTTTTTATTTTTTAGGCAATTGGGGTTAAGTGACTTGCCCAGGGTCACACAGCTAGTAAGTGTCAAGTGTTTGGTCTGAGGCTGGATTTGAACCCAGGTCCTCCTGATTTCAGGGCCAGTGCTCTATCCACGGTGCCACCTAGCTGCCCCAAAGAGGTCTTTCTGAAACTTCAATCACCAAACGAATTCACACGGGGTCCATGACCTTCCCATCTTTCATCAAATAGTGTGAGAGTACAGTTCTAGGGTAAAGAATTGGTCAGCAAAGTGAGGTCACTGAAACTTTAGGCCAGGCAGGGAAAGACAACTGGAGTGCCAAAGGACCTGAGAGGTTCACCACAATGCCCAGAGACAACAGATATTTCTGTCTACTTGGTCAGGAAATTCTTTATTATATACTGGACATCAAAAAGAATCACAAACCCAAAGTCTCACCGCTACAGTTCTTCCAAAATAAAAACAAGCAATAAGAAAGCAGAGTTTAATCCAGCTTCACGACAGAAGATCATGCCATAATCCTAGGATGATCACAGATCTAGAACTTCAAGAGGTCTCAAAGGTCAATTAATCCAACCCCCTTATTTTAAGAATGAGAAAACTGAAGCCCAAGGAGGGTCAATGTCTAAGGCCAATGTCACAGAGACATTATGTGTCTGTTTTCCTCTGGGGAGCCAATGTTTTGCCTCAACAAACACTTGGTCGGTTCTAAAAACAACCCTAATGGATTTCTCTCCTCCAGCTTGGAGCTTCTCTGCCTTTTTTTGGTTGATAACAGTTTCTGTATGTATATTTCCATACCTTAGAAATGCCCAAAGTTTTTGATCTTTCTAAACAAAATTATCATTACAGTCAATTGTGACCAAAGCACAACTAAACCTGCTCTTGGGGTCCAGCAGACCTTCTTCACTGAGCCAGGAAGGGGAGAGATATTGCAGGCTGAAAGCCTCAGCTTGGAATCAGGATTGAATCCAGGCTCTAAAGTCTATGAGACACTGGGCAAGTCCCTCAGCCCTTCTGAGCAATCTTTAAAGTCAGGACAGTATTTATCCTGCTGCCCACTGGACTGTCATGAGGAGAGCACACTCTAAGGATGAGCTACAGAAATAAGAGTTTTTATCATTACTGAACACAGGGGCCAAAGAAAACCTGAGCAGCCTTCCTCAATACGATGACATGGTAGCACTGGGCTTTCCAAAAGCACCCTCAGAGAGGGTGTGGTTTGCTGGAGTCTTTGTGACAGCCAGAGTTAGAATAAGGCAGTGGGAGTGGGTGAGAGGGTTGGAAAACACATCAATGACGGGGGTGTTACCTCTGAAGAGGTTTCATTTGCTGTAATTTATTTTAACCTTGAGGCTGGTTTTCAATCTATTCACACAAAGTCCTTAGATACATATTTTATTTGTACATATTACATGTAACACATAAGTAAATTCTAAACATTAACACATATTAAATGTCTTTTCAAAACCAGGAATATTCTGAATAAATCAATCTTTAGTCTCTTAAAGTACTTACTCCATTCCTTGTGCTGTCTGCCGGGCAATGTCGATAAGCTGGAACATCTGAAATTTGGTCTCCTGGACATGGAGGTGCTTATAAAGACTGCTCCCCTCACACCACTGTGTCACAATTGCCAGGTTATCTTTAGTCATATAGCCCATGAACAACAGAATGTTAACATGCCTGGTTTTTCTGAAGAAAAATATAAAGAGAAAAAAATTTCCATTATCCTTATGAAGTAACATCAAAACAAAGGAACTCATTAACAGACTTTAGGGAATTCAAAGCCATGGTATCAAAGTGGTCGAGGAATTGTAGTCTAATCAGAAAACTTCAACCTAAGAATCATCTCTCTACTTAATGACCTCTCTGACCTTGGGCAAATCAGTGCAGTTCTCTGGGCTCCTCATTCTTGATGTGTAAAATGAGATATCAGACATTCTAACATTTACTACAAGGGATACAGGGAGAAAAACAACACAGTCCTTACCCCCAAAGAGTTTTGAGTCCACTGGAGGGATGGAGAAGCATTCATTTCTGCTCCTGTTGGACTGTGCAGATCACAGCAGGGTAGGGCGGGGGTGAGGGTGAAAGTGAGGGGATGGCCTAAGTAACTGTGAGAGGAGGGGCAGTATGGGGGAAGAGGGCCAGAAGGGTGTCTCAGCAGACTAATGACATGGCCAGATATTAATGTGTGCATTAACTGACCTCAGAGGTCCCCTCTAAGTTTGAACTACCATAAGGAAGCACTGTGTACTCACTAAGACAATTAACCTGTGGAACGTTTTCACAGAACGAATCCCGCACACTTGGCAGAAGGGTCTCTGAAATGAGACAACAGAACTTCTCTGCTCACCTTAAGACGGCCACTTCGTTCCTGAAAGCCTGCAACTGTTCTGGGGTTGGATCAATGACCTTTAATATCTTCACAGCAACGTCTCCTGCAAATTAACTTAAAGTCAACATGACAAAAAGGAATGCTTTTTACTTCACGTGTCATCCATGTGACAGAGCAGGGAACTTCCATCTAAGGAGGCGGCCACAGCAATACAGGCTCGGCTACAAATGGTTCTTGTGAGTGATTTTCTTAAGTCTCATTTCTGATTCTGTTGCCCTCCTTACTTGATAAACACCAATGGCTTTCTATCATCTCCAACACTCAATATGAAATCCCTGTTTGGCATTTAAAGCCTTTCATCACTTGGCCCCTTCCCATCCAATGACACTTAGCTCACCTTCACACACTACACCAGCCAGCAATACTCCGTCCACTGACTTCCTTCTGTAGGAAGCCTTTCTTCTCTTTCTCCTCACCTTCCTTCTACTCGCTCTATCTCTTCTATGTGCCTAGTTGTTTGCCTGCTGTTTCCCTCAATAGAATGCACGCTTCTTGAGGGCAGGGGCTGCGCAGTTGTCTTTCTTTGTATCCTTGGCATTTTTTTTTTTAAGTGAGGCAGTTGGGGTTAAGTGACTTGCCCAAGGTCACACAACTAGTAAGTGTCAAATGTTTGGTCTGAGGCCGGATTTGAACTCAGGTCCTTCTGACTTCAGGGCCAGTGCTCTATCCACTGCGCCACCTAGCTGCCCCTATCCTTGGCACTTCTCACTTGGCACATAGTAAGCACTAAATAATGCTGATTAGCTTTGTCCTTCTCCTCTTAGGATGCACATCTCTTTCTCTGTATACCACATCCCTGAAGCCTTCCTGAATTCCCCACCAACTGCCCAACCATCCCTCCTTGTCTGTGAGCTCCCAGAGCACTGTGTTACTAATTTAGTGTTTAGTACACACTGCTAATCTTATATGATTTGGGGGGCTTAGGAGAGAGCAGTGTCCTATTTCCCCTACTATACTATATTAAGCTTTACAAGGACAGAAAATGTCAAACATCTTTATACCCCTCACATAGGGCTGAGTATATGGTAAGTCACCTGCAGCCCTACATTATGTATACATTATGTGTGCAATGCAAGTATGTGTTATTTGTGGACACACTGGGGTGGGGGAAGAGGGAAGCCTTTGGAAAACTTCAAGGCCTTTCAGCTAATGGGAACTTTTGTTTTGAAGAAAGCAACATTTTACATTCCATTTCTACATTAAATATAGTCAAATTCCCCTAAAGAGGAACACGTCTTTTAAAAATGATAAAAAGTAGCAGCAACTGCTTTTTTACAAATGGTACCAACTAAAATGACAGAATTTGCAAACTCATGATTCAAAGCCCTATGAAATCAATCTGAGTCAACTAGTTAATAAATAGTTCCTGAATGCCTATAATAGGCAACACCTTGTTCTTGGAGCTGCTGTTTTCTATTTCCATAACCCAAGGAAGAAGAGTGAAACTGGCACAAGAAACAGTCAGTTATTTCAGACAGCATCTAAAGTACTTGCAGGATCCTTGGGTTGCTGCAAATATCCCCTGTTCTGTTTGTCTTAATCTTGGGATCTAATTCTTTGTTTGGTTTTTTAAAATTCAATTCTATTTTATTTTCAGTACCAAATTCTCTCCCTCCCCCATTGAGAAAGTAAGAAAAAGAAAGCGTTGGGGTTGACTGCTAGAAGCTTTCCCTCTTAGTGCACGGGATCACTGGAAAGCCCAGTGGGCATGGAGTCAGAAGTTGGGCCCTGGAAGCCACCTCTGCTCTGTGTACCCATAACAAGTCTCTTCATTTCTCTGAGTCTGTTCACTCTCCCAGAAACAGGACCAATAACTACTGCTCTGCCTACCCAGGCTTCTCGTAAGGAAAGTATGTATACATGTACAAATGTGAGGTGGTGTTATTACTTGTTAGTTAAAAAAAAAAAACACAGTATGAGGAAAACTGAACAAGAACTTTCCCCTTTATCATGTTAAAAGTCCTAAGATCTTCCCCCTCCACAAAAAGTGTTATTTCCATGCTTCACTGTGGCCCTGGTGACCTTGGGCTAGGACAGTGAGCAAAGGCCCTGGCAGGTCCTACCACATGAAAAGGCCTCAAGTATCTACTCTGCCTCTGAACTGCAGTAAGTCCAGAGAAGCTCACTGCCAGAATGGCAGCCACTCTGGAGAAGGGTTGGAGGGGAACACCACTCATGAAGGATGCCTCCTAAAGCATAGAAAGATTTAAAGCTGGGCTGACCAAAGGCAAACAGAGGCCTGTGAAACCACCCACCCCAGAATCCAACCCCCTCGGAGGTCTTTTGAGTTCTTAAGCATAGTATAGTATATTAAGCACATGGAGATATATATATATATATATCTCCATCCTTTTTGTAATGACTTATAGCCATTACTATGAACAACAATTTTCATAAACTAAACATTTTTAACCTCAAGGTAAAATGTGAAAATTGCATCCTCTGTACATGTGTCAGAGGCAATGACCTTTCACGATGACACATGTAACTTGACAATACAAAAACTTTTATCTGCCACTAATGTTAGAACTTCTAAGGCTTTGGAAATATGAATATTTATAAAAGGTTGGTTGTTTTTTGTTTTCTTTTTTCCTTTTTTTTTTCCTTTTTGTTAGGCAGTGGTGATTAAGTGACTTTCCCAGGGTCACACAGCTAGTAAGTGTTAAGTGTCTGAGGCTGGATTTGAACTCAGGTCCTCCTGAATCCAGGGCCGGTGCTCTATCCACTGCACCACCCAGTTGCACCCTCAGTTGGTTGTTTTTTAATGTCCCTGTCCCAACTCCCCTATCCAAATGCTGTTTTTCATCTGCTCCACCTGCTCCTCGGGAAGGTAACTACTATGTGAAAATCGAAATTCAGCACAGAATTCTGAAACTTGACCTCCTTAGCTTTTTTTTGGATCATATTCTCACATCCTAAAAACACATAAGTTTCAAAGGAATGAAATTTGAAATAAACAGCATGGTTCGTACTCACCGTGCCATTTACCCTTGTACACTGTCCCAAATGAACCTGACCCTATTCTGGTTGATAGCATGACTTCACTGGCTTCTATTTCCCAGTAATAACTCGAATCTCTCTGTCCACGTGGCCTCTGGAACAAGTAAATATGTCAAAATATAACAGGGGCAAATAAACCCACAGATGACCACTAGCATTCGTCTTGTTTCTGAACATTAGTGTGCGAAAACAAATGTCAAACACTTACATCTCCCCAACATACATTATAAAAGCCTTCAAATTAAACTGCTGGCTTTCTCTTTTACAGCCTGTGCTCAGGCATTTGTCCTCAATTTTGTCCTCCTCCCCTTCCTACTAGAACTCTGGCCTCTGATCCCAGGACCTCCCTGGACTCAGACAGGTAAGATTTCCCCTTTCCTTTCTCAGCCCAGGCTTCACTGTCACTTCCTGGTCATTCCCCACCATGCAGCCAGATTTCTACCTCCCCTTCATGTGCCTCTCCCTTCATTAGAAAATAAGCTCATTAGAGACAAGAACCATCTGGCTTTCTTCAGTTTTTATCCCCAGTGCTGGGCACATGGTAAGCACTTAATAAATGCACTATCCTTCACTATTTTGAAACAATATATCAAGCTGACCATACTTACAATTTTATTTTTCTCTTGTGTACCGGATCCTGGGGCTCTTTCTCTGTGTGCTGGAACAGGAGTTTTGGACTGAGACCAGCCAGTTGGACTCAGGTTGTTTGGACTACTGGACAGAGCTGAAGGTGAGGCTTAATACAAAAAGACAAAAGCAATCAGGATACACGTGAGCCAACGGGAAATCCAGAGTGATTAAAAGAAAACATTGTTACTGTTTGTTATGTGACGACATACAAGTACCTGATTCACTGTGACTTCGAATTGCATCCTAAAACAGAAAAGAAAAAATGATTAGCTTTTACCCTAGAATAGATTACCTAGTGGAAAGGGATAGCGTGAGGATATGCAAAAATGGAAAGAGGATTGTGAAAAACCTAGAATTCAGAAATTATATAAACATAACCTGGGTAATTCTCTTATAACTAAACAGAACAAATATAAATGACCAACAATATCCTGCAAGAATTTTAATCTAAGGAATAAAATGGCTTACATTAATTAGCTAACTATAGGAAATCACCCCCAATTCCGCCCCCAACGAAAGACAGCTGAAATGTTAGCCAAGTAAGATGGCCTTTTCTTTAGTCCAATCCTAATTTTGCTGGGTTCAGTGAAACATGGATCACAACGCAAAGCCGTTATTGACTATACTAACTCCACGTAGGCATTCAGCAAGTCCAAATGTAGGTTTGGAAGTGGACAGTGACTGCATGGAGAGAAATGACTGGGCCTTGGTCACACAGTGGCGAAGTCCAGCCTAGAAAACAGGTCTCCTGACTTCTGGTCCAATCTTCTTTCCCACTGTAGCAGGCAGCCTCCTCCAGCCGAGGAATAAGGTCCAATCCCCACCAGAATTCCATCTTAAATAAAAGACTTCCTGGAGTGGCACTCTAGACCTTCTTTTCAAAGCCTGCTTCTGTGACTAGTATTCAAAACTAATGAACAGAAATCTCAATTTGCAGGATAACAAACTTCATTTACTTCTCATCCTCATATAAAATGACTCCATTTTCTCCTCGGGAATACTGCTGATAACAATGTGTAAGTAACCAGTAATGTGTAGTTATAAAAATACATAAAATGCTTAAAATCATTCAGATTTTTGGCAAGGAAGGAATTAAACAAGAGCAAATAAGTCAAATAAGCACTTCTCTACGATCCTAACACTAAAACCAAAGCTATTTTTATATTCTTGGGTTCTTCAAGCTCTCTTAGCAAACTTTCTCTAAATGCTTTGAGATATCCTGAGATTTGAATTCTGACCCCATTACAAAACCAATCTAATGATTTTAATTAACTAAAGCACATCATAATACCAACTAGAGCAAAGATTTCCTATGTGCTAAGATGAGTTCTACTCCAGTGCCTTCCTTTCCTCAACCTATAAACATGCTTTATCTTAAGCCAGCAGGCACTCCCAAGGTTGTATTGCTTTGTCCTCTTAGAAACTGTCAACTAAAAGGAATTATAAATACAAAAATTGAAATAAAACACAACATGCACTATAGAAACTGTAAATAACTAGAAAAAAGTAAAAACTGAACCTGAGTTCAAAGAACAGGGATGATTAAGATTATTGTGCTAGTCATTTATTAGAATACAAACAGCTGAATTTTCCTCCTTTGAAATTTTCCTCTATTACTAAAACTGCTTAGAGAGGAAGAACCTGTCTGACAGAATCATTCATTCAGATGAGCACATCGAAAGTTTGGAGCCAAAAGCTTTATTAGATGGGCATGAGAGCTTAGCTTTCATTTTAGTTACTGGTGGAGTAAATGATCCTAAAGGTAGTTATTTGGAGGCTAGAGTAAATACACTGCCATTTAAATGGCACGTGCTTGCCAAGAGTTTTCAGGTGTTGACTGACAAAAATAAAGCAGCAATCAAACTATCAATGAAAAGACATACACAGCTTATAGGTGAGACCCAAATAATTTATGAATGCTATAGAAACCAATCAGAGAAGAACTAGAGTTCCAAGTAAAAAAAATAATCTAAGATTTGCATGTGCTGACATATGTGAAATTAAACAAACAAACAAAAATCCAAGAAACAGTTAACAAGACAGCAAAGACACTTCCTATGGTAGGTAACCTGTCAAGCCCCTATAGGAATGTTAGAAGTTGTGGAAACTAGTGTGGCAAGAAATTCATGAGTTAAAATTCTCTCCTGCCTCAATCCTATGCTGTGTGGCACAGTCTGGGCAATCCTGTTAATCACAAGAAAGCAAAGGCATGAAGAAGGATACCTACTCTTGCCCTCAAACATGACCGTCTGCACCACGCCCTGGGAGAAGTGTTCAGGCTGCTATTCTAGTCCAAAGCAATGAGAAATAAAGAAGAAAGAACACAGGAGGCATTTGAGTGTTTCAGTTGCTATGAAAGAGGAATGAGAAAGAAAAGGAAACAAAAACACCCCACCAGGAAGTAGAGAAAAGAAAAAGCAGCTAGCAGTCAAGCTCTGGGCACTTTACTCAAGGCAGAATCCCTCCCCAAATGGGATGCCGCAAATCCCGCAACTTGTTCCCAGACTTTTAACACTAGAGCCGTCTTCACGCCTTTCAGAGAGCTGGCCCTTCCCTCATCCCCTACACCGAAGGCCAAAATACCAGCATTCCTTACCATTAATGTGCTAGCTCAGTACCTGCGCAAGTTTGGAAGGAAAAGGTTAACACTAGGATTTCTCTGGGCAGTGATGCCTCTATCCCAACACTCCCACACACATTACTCAGCTGGGCAAAAGATGTTATAAAGGAAGCAAGGCAACTTTAAACATAAAAGGGAATTAGAAACCATTATGATAATTCTAGTCTGAAATCCAGCATTGATATCTAACTTAGAAAATAAAATCTCTTCCGAGTTGAAGTTAGTGCTAAGCAGCTTTTATTTCCAGTAGTCCCATTACCTCTATAATCCGACTGTCCACTGGCATGGTGGTGCTGACCATATGAACATTTGGGGTAGATGTAGACCTCTGCCTCTGGGAGAGGGAGCCCTCTGAGGACGGCGGCGACGTGCTGAATGTGAAGGCGTGGGGCGTGGAATACCTGTGCTGGGAGCTAGCGAGGAGGAAAAAGAGGCTCAGTCGTCTTTAAACTTCACCATGTGTAAAATACATTTGCACTGCTTTCCTCATCAAGGCGTTTGGAGACAAATCGCGACAAGACTCCTATATAGACTCCTAGAGCTCACTCCAGAAATAGGAGAGATTAGTTTCTGTAGCAAAACTTTCTATCATTTTAGTAAGAAAAATGTTTAAGCGCTAGCCTATTGAAATGCTATTAAATCCTAAGGACAGTGGAATACATATAATAATAATAATAATAATAATAATAAAAAATTTTTTCTCTTAAATAAATAATTTATACAGATTAGTCCAGAATGTTAAAGCATCTTCAGGAGAGAGATGTATTCGCCAACCCATTTAGCTAGTTGAAGCTTGCCCATTTTAATTTACAGACTAAATTAAAGGGCTTTACAGAAGATTTTGACAGTTGGTAAGAGGTAAGACCTGCCTAACATGTTCAGGAAAAAGGTTAGGGCATTAGGCATTATTTAACTTTTGACTCCCCCCCTCCCAACAGGCTTTTTCCTTAAATTAACTGCTAAAACAGCTTCTCAGTTGGAATTAAAAATTGTGAAATCAGTTGTCAGACCCCTTAAAAATAACCACTTTCTGAACCTCCAACAGTTTTTATGAAGTATAGCTGTAATTTTCATTAGTTGCTCTAAGGATTAGTTTGTGCTCTGTTCATAGTAATAAAATAAATCCCCTGTCAAACATAGTAATCATAAAAGATAAAAACAATTCTAAGCTTCCTTAAAGGATACTGCCCAAATTATTCAAATTATGCCATCTGAGGGCCTGGCCCCACAATTTAAGGGTTCGGTTGACTAGTGCCATGTCAAAAGGAATGATTTTCAAAGACAACTGCTCTCTTGCTTAGAGTCAAATGAACAAATAGCATTTTGCTTCTGTTTCTTGAGAACAATTACATGCTGAGCCAGAGTTTAAGACATTGCACAGACTTTGAGGAGCACTCTGATGTACTCAAGACACATTTGAGTACAACTTGCTGGCACCCAGAAATCTTCCCTGTAAAAGTTATGGCATTATAACACCTAAAGAAATATCCACAAGTGCCAAGTACTCTGACCAGGGGTGTGGTAAAAGCCGGCCATGCTTCCCAGTCTACTTCAGACTCCACAAATTTACGGGGCTAATATCAAGCAGCCGTGAGACCAGACCATCTCCCCAACTTTACAACAGGTGTACTAATGAACAAACTTAGAGGAATATCATAATGAATAAGAATTTTGAAAAGTTAACTGGTTTCAGTTTATGCATAAAATATGACCCTAAACATTTTCAACCTTTAAAAAAAATCACTTTTCTACTATTTTGGGATGCTTCATATTCAGTATTAATTTTAGGTTGTTTTATGAATGAACTCTTTATAGCATTAAGTATCTATGTATCAAACTCTTACAAAACTTGGTTTGATTTTCACGACTCAATCGGTTGAAGAAGTTGTATTACTTACAAGTCGTAATTGGCCCACAAGGCCAATAAAGTAGAACCCTGAAAACTATGTCTTTGGAACCACGTCCCAAAGTCGCAGAGTATAGTGGAAACTGGGGTGGACTTGGAATACAAATGTATCTTCTGCAAAATGAGGGTAACTTCTGTTACCTAAGTTATGGTTGTGACCTAAGTGTTTTATAAACTTTGAAGCACGGAATAAATGTGTACATGTATGAGTATCTCCATGCTATGGAGCCTGAGGGAGGTTATGGCACCTGTATGCGGTAAATATAGTGTACATGATTCTACTCTAAAATTCAGTGTCTTTCACTCTTCTATTTCAGTCATACCCATGTTCTGGCAGGATTCACTTCCACGTGAATAACAGGGAGTATGAATAAATGTGCTTAGTGCTATGGAAAGTGATTTATGATAGAGAAATTCCATTTAAAATAACTACAAACGGTATAAGATACTTGAGAGTTTACCTGCCAAGACTCACAAAAACTATATAAACACAATCTACATAACTGGAGAAATGTTCATTACTCATAGGTAGGCCTAACCAATACAATAAAAATGGCAACACTATCTAAATTAATTTACTTTTTCAGTGCCATACCAAACTACCAAAGAATTAGTTTATATAACTCAAAAAAAAAAAAATAGTAACAATATTCATCCAGAGAAAGGGTCTTGAATATCAAAGGAATCAATGAAAAAAAAAACAGGAAGGAAAGAGCCTTAGCAGTACCAAATCTCAAACTATACTACCAAGTTGTAACTGTCAAAACAATCTGGTATTAGCTAAGAAACAGAGAGATTCATCAGTGGAACATATTAGGTACATCACATACAGAAGTAAATGGGCACTTAAAGATCCCAGATACTGGGCCAAGAACTCACTGTTTGACAACCACTGCTGGGAAAACTGGAAAGTAGTCTGACAGAAACTAGGCATAGACTAACATCTCACACCATATATCAAGATAAGCTCAAAATGAGTACATGATTTAGACATAAAGGGTGATATCATAAGCAAATTAGTAAAGCATGAAAGAAATCACCTGTTAGATCTATGGATGGGGAAGAGTTCATGACCAAACAAGAGACAAAGAGATTCACAGGAGGCAAAAATGTATAAATTTGATTACGTGAAATTATAAAAGATTTTATACTAACAAATTCAATGCAGTTAAAATCGGGAAAAAAGCAGGAAATTGGGAAAAAAATCTTTGCAGAAAATTCTCTGATGAAAGTCTCATCTATCAAATTTGCAAGAATAAGAATTATGCCCAAATTGATAAATGATAAAAAGATTAAGCACTTTTAAGAGGAAAAAAAATCAGTTATTAATACCATATGAAAAATGTTCTAAATCACTGATAATTAGAGGAATGCAAATTAAAATGACTGAGGTACCACCTCACACCCATCAGCTTGGCTAAGATGACAAAAAAAAAAAAGGAAAATGACAAATGCTAGAGGGGCTGTAGGAAACAGAGAGACTAATGCACTGTTTGTGGAGCTGTGAATAAGTCCAGTCGTTCTGGAGAACAATTTGGAACTATGTCCAAAAAGTTACTAAGCTTTGCATACCTTTTGACCCAGCAATACCACTACCAAGTTTATACCCCAAAGATATTAAAGGGGAAAAGGACCCATAAATACAAAAATATCTATAGCAGCTCTTTTTGTATTGGCTACACTGGAAACCGAAGGGATGCCCATTAACTGGGGAATGGATGAACAAGTTGTGGTATATGAATGTGATGGAATACTACTGTGCTGTAAGAAATGATGGAAGATGATTTCAGAATAACCTGGAAAGAAGTGTATGAACTACTACAATGTGAAGTGAGCAGAACTAGAAGAATAATTTATACAGTGATAACAATATTGTAAAGATAATCAACTTTCTAAGACTTAGTAACTCTGACCAACCATAATTCCAAAGAACTCATGATGAAACATGCTACCCACCACCTGGCAGAGAAATGCTGCACTCACAGAGTACAGACTGAAGCATATTTTCTTCTCTTCCTTTTTCTTGGCTTTTTTTGACATGGCTAATGTGGAAATTAATTATGTACGACTATTCAGATTTACAATGGGTTTTATTTTGCTTGCCTTCTCAGTGAGTGGGGGAGGGAGAGAATTTAAAACTGAAAATAAAATAAAATTGAATTTAGGGAAAAAAGAAAAAAAAAGAAAAAAGAAAGTGATTTACCTAATGGGGATCTGGGAAACAGACTCTCGCATCCGACGCATTGTTAGGGGAGGTAGTGCTGGTACACCACTATCACCAACATTGGAATTTGGAAACAATCTAAATGAAGTTGGATAAAGACAAGTTTAGTTATTACTGCAATGTACAGAAAGACCACCTTCCACTTGATTTAATATCTCTACTTTTTGCAAAAGTACTAATTGCTTTAAACACCCAAAATGACCCAGTCATATTCAGGTTTTTCCACCATTATTTAAAACTCCTGCAAAGTGAGGCACTGGCAGCACCTCCAGTGACATGCTAGACAATTAGGAAATCGAGTGCCAATGAACACCACAAATTTGAGTGCAGGGACAATTAATGGGTATTCCTAAAGTAAAGAGGGATCATTAGACAAAAGATGATATTTCGCAAAGCTTATTACTAAAATCAAGTTAGGGCTTTGTAGAAATAACAGTCTGATCACTACTTTGAAGCTACTGACAAAATGCCCACATTTACTTTTGTTCAAGTCTAGAGGTATCTATTTTAATAACTAATTTTATCTTTTCATCTAAACATCACTTCTTTAAAAGCACATTAAGTGCAAATGTTGAAAACTAAAAATAAATAAAAATTTTTAAAAAATGAAAACACAATGAGTAAAAAAAGGATTCATTTAGTTCTTCTTGTTAGATTTTCCTATCAACTAAATTCAACACCAAACATTTTAAATAATACGACAAACTGGAAGAAAAGCACTTTTGAACAAAAGAGACATATACACATATGTACACATAAACAATGCCATTTTCACGGCCCAAGACAAGGATTTCTAGCTTCTTATTTGAGGTAGCATCCTTTCCTTTCCAAGTCTACTCAATAGAACATAAATGTCATGAGACGAAAAGCTCAATAGGCACCTAAGGAACACATATGTTTTTACCGTGTGACTACAAATTTCAGTAATGATTAATTCTCATCCAAAAAAGAAAATCATTTGGGCAAGTACTGTTCCTGGTGATGTCTACACTATTCAGTTATGTGAATGCCTCCACAATTTTCTGCCACATTTTGGAAAGAATGTGTTTTCTAACATGTACGTGCTAGTTTATGTTCAGTTATTCTTTTAAACCTAATGCTATGCAACCTCCCCAAATTTCCTATCGAGGCTATATATGTGCAGTTGTTTTATTTAACTGAATCATGTCAAGAATCTACTGGTTGGTGAGGCGCCTGCTCAGCACATATCTGCTGATCTCAGAATGCTAGATTTGGCTGACATGACTTCTCCCTGACAGCAGGGTGAGTGTCCAACATTATACCATTTTTGCCCTCACTTTTGAAAATGTTGATATTAATATGCTGTAAACCCAGACTTGTTAATTACAAAGGCCTAATAAGCCCTGTAAATACCTGTAATACTGATTTTCCAGGACACTGCTTACCTCCCCCATTATAGTATTAAACACATTTTTAAAAACAAGAGAACTCTTACAAGAGCTGTCTGATATTACTCCAATCCACACACATAGTGGGAACCTTAGTGCTACAGTGCTCATGAAACTTGTAGCCACATGTCTGACATCTAAATCCATTCAGCAGGAACTTCTGACAAATATCACAGAAGGCAAGCTTCAGGAAAGTTTTTCGAGCCTAGAAGATGAAGAAGATGGGGGACAAAATATTATATACTATGTCAAACAATTAGTAAATTAAAAAAAGTCAGATGACTTAATTTCTATGTATTGTACCCCCCCCACCCCCCAAAGTTAAAGGATCAAGTATATAGGAAATCCATAACAAGAACTTTTAAAAGATATTTTGTCTGAATAGCACTGCATTATAAGCTATATTATAAATAACCACAGCTTCTGATTGAATAGCACAAATGCTACTAGAATGTGAAATTCCCAACTTATCAATCTAAAAATGCAAAAAAATATACTACAAGGATAAAAGGAAAAGCAACTTACAAAATTGTGTGTTGTGAGGGGGACATGATCCAGGAAATCTACTTGAAGTTCTTCTCCCACCAAAGAGGCAGCATCAGTATTCCAATCTAAACGCGTTTTTTTCCTAAAAGTAATTTTAAAATGTATCAAAATAAAATTACATTATCCATACTAGGGACTGATATTGATGAAAATGCTGTCATCTGGAAACAGAAAATACATTTTTTTGCCACTATGGGAAGATGTTACAGTCCTATGCTCATGATTTCCAATTTGTCATGTCACAGCCAGTTACGTGTCAAAGGTGGAGCCTAAAACCAAGTCTTGATAATGCCGAGGCCAAGCCCTTAACCTCAAGTCTATACCATACTGCCTACTCACTAGCTGACTTTAAATCAACCAGTCTGATTCTCTGAATTAGGGGCCACAAGGGGGTGCCATAGTGCAGTACTGGGTCTACAATTAGGAAAACTGGAGTTCAAATCCATCCAGCCTTAGACAGTTACTAGTCATGTGACCCTGGGTAAGTCCCTTAATCTCTGTCTCAGTTTCCTCAGCCATAAAATGAGGATAACAACAGGACCTAATTCTCGGGGTTGTTCTAAGGATCAAATGAGAAAATATCTGTAAAGTGCTTAACACAGTGCTTTTATAGATGCTTATCTTCCCTCCCTTACCCCCAGCTACTCATCTCAAATCTAATGGTAAAGGGAGGTAAGAGACAGTTATTTCCAATATATCCTTGAAGGTAAGGCCTATCCTAGAAAGGGCCTGATGTCACCCTAAAATAAATCAGATTAACTTTCTTCAAGCAAACCCTACTTAGCCCTAGAACAGCTCAGATTTCTGTGGTATCCTACAGACTGGGGATAACTCAGCATGGGTTGGACCTCTTGCAGTCCTACCTATCAGCTCTGTTATCAGTCCTCACTGGGTCCTGACAGAAAACTTGGCCTGCTAGGGTGATAAGGGGAGGAGAAGCTTCTGTTGACTTCACTACATTCCCCTTACCTAAGAGAAATATGCCTTAAAGGTGGAAAGAAGTTTAGAATTAATAAAAGGAAGTACTATTTATAGAATGAGTGGTAAACTTATAGAAATTTTTGTTCCCATGTGGTAGAAAAAAATTTTTTAAATCTAGCTAAATTTCCAGGAGATAGGATCATATAGGAAACTGACAGTTTCAACTGAACCTCTAGCTTCTGCAGTTAGCTTTCATGACCTTTTAAAACAGCCTTTGGTCTCTCTAGGAAAGAGACCAGTGAATTGAATGGATAATATGTCCAACCCTAAGAGGTAATCTCTAAACTTTTCAAAACCATGCACAAGCTCTGTAGCCCATCCACAAAGAGCATGGAGACCAATCTAAGCACATAGACAGGTAACAAACCAGAAAATACTGACATCTTTTTGAAGGGCAGGACAATTATTGTGAAGGTCTGAAGGAGTCCTAAGACAGATTTCCATCGTATCAATGTCTCCTTGCAGAAAAGGTAAATGGCTTTGGAGTGAAGAAATGGACGTGGAAACGGCGCAGCCCCTGCAGTGCAAGGTCACTTTGGGCACAACTAACCTTGCACCCTGGGATTTCAGTACACAGTGAGGTAACATGGGTGCACTTCCCAATTACTGTTGTCATTCAAGAGAATGGCTCAGTTGTGGAAATGTGAAATTTCTCTGGTGAAAATACATCCACAGAGGCACACAGGACCAAGTGTGGCTTGTGCTGTTTGTGAAGCCCAAATAGATCAGTTAATTTTTGAAGGAAATGACACTGAATTTGTTATCAAACTGAGCTGCCCTGATTCAATAGGCCATGAACGTAAAACACAAGGATCATCAGAAAACAGGATGGATTTTGGATGGCATCTGTGTTTCTGAGAAAGGTGCAACGTATCGGATCCAGCAGAAGAATAAGTTTGAAAACTTGTAGAGATGCCAAAGGCAGTGTCCTGAGGACTCAACACCTCCTCAAATGCTATAATAAAATACATTTGGTCACTTGGGCATTTTCTCCTTTTTTAAACATCTGTTGCCACCCTGATATGAGATAAAATTTTATGAAAGATGTGTTGAACTAAGCTAATGGTACAATGAGGCAGGTGACCTTCTTTTAGATCAAGCCCAAATTCTGGGAAGTCCTTTTTTTTTTTTTTTTTTTTTTTTTAATTTTTAGGCCATTTGTGTTAAGTGACTTGCCCAGGGTCACGTAGTTAGTAAGTGTCAAGTGTTTGGTCTGAGGCCGGATTTGATCTCAGGTCCTCCTGACTTCAGGGCCGGTGTTCCACGCACTGCACCACCTAGCTGCCCCGAGGTCCATTTACCAAGCTAGAAAGGCTTTGAATATTTATGTTTTAGCAGAGAGTATTATTAAGTTCAGACCGCCTTCCTGCCAGAAGGTTGCCATCTATTTCTGAACCATAATAAAAAATGATTATTGGGGGAAAAAAAAATTAAGTCCCACAGAGGGACATGTTAAGAAGAATCAACAAAATTCAATCTCACAAAAACTATCGTGTGTTTTTCAAGATAATGTCCTAGGAATAATCCCATAATTGCAAGCCTTTAGTTTCTTTTTAATTGCTTATGGACTCATATCGATCTACGATCTCACTCGTGTGGGCACTCCTTCCCATGACACAGCTCACAACCCAAATGTGCCTGCCCCTCCTGTACAACTCTGGTCTATGTCCACATAGAAATGGGCCAAAAAGAGTCCACACAACATGCTGAGTGACTCTCCTTGATTTTCCATAGATGAGAGTGAAGCAGATGGGCTGGGCTAGCTCTCACACTCTTTTTCTTTCTTTACACAAGCATCAAGAAGTGTTAACAGTCTTTGGAAAGGTAGGAGGGGTAAGAAGGGCCAAGATTTTTTCTATACCATTTGTACCCTGTGCTCTTTCAGACACTTTCAGTGTTGGTCCCTCAACGCTCTCTCAGCAAGGCTCTCTTTGGGTTTACTTGATCCAGTCCAGCTGCTTTTTCCAGCTTTGTTTTCTATGGTGCTGACAGCAATCTAAGGATGGCGGCTCCACTGTTCATTTTTTCCTTTTTATCCATACACCTTATTGTTACACGACCTACATTTCCCATTATATTATTCTCCCCTCCAGAAAGCAAGCCCTTATAGGAAACAAGAGGAAAACATAGTTCCTATCTCTTCTTAGGGGCTTTAATTTCACATTTTGAAATTTTTTGTTTTGTGGCGGGGGTTCTTCCTGTTTCCATGGTCCATTGTTTCCTTGGCTCTATTTCACTTTCCCTAAATTCATGTAAGTCTTTCCATGATTCTGTGTTCATCATAGTTATCACTTCATTACAATCATGTACCATCCCCCAATCATTCTAGCCATCCACCAACTGATGATCATCTACTGTGCTCCAGTTTATTCCTACTACAAAAAGTACCAAAATAAATATTCTGATGTATATGGGACCTTTCTTTGAATCATTACCTCCCTCGCATATGTGCTAACATGAGCCCAACTGTACTAAACAGTGGAAAGTGTTATTAAAACCAGATCATCATTGTATCATTTCTCTTGTTTGTTGTGGGTCCTTCCAGTTTCATCCTTCAATGTTCTTGGGATGACAACTACTCATCTCTCACTAAGCTTTCTTTGAACTTCTTTTCCCTCCACTGCCCTTCTGTTTCATAAGGCAATACTGCTCATAATTAACCATTCTTTTCCACAAGATTTTACATGTATAATTTTATAGTCTAAACTGGTATTGCCCTTGGCTACCATAGCCGACTACCTGGCAACAAGAGTCACTGTTGGCAGGCTTTGAATAAGGGTAGACACTGTTCTGCAGTTAGGTAAATATTCACTGACTATAGAAAGAGTTGCAGTTATTTGAGACTGGGAAGTTCTTTTTGGTCATAGTAGCTAACTTGCTTATGTGTTTGAAGATTCTTACCCTTTGTGTTCATGGAGAAGCCTAAAAACTGCACAACATTCTGGCTGGAGGCCTCTCACTTTAAGAGCCTTCATAAGGCAATCATGCAAGGTCATTCCATTTCGAATATTAACCTACAAACAAATAGGTGGTTTTAGAATAGAACACAAAACCTTATTTTAAAAATTATGTACTAACTTTAGACATCAAAATTAAATATACATTCATAATTATTTATACCTTAAAAAAGGGTTTCTATGTACAATATGTCTACAAAAGTTTGTTGATGATCCTGTATCCCTTCCTAGCGATGTCTCATTTTTAAAGACAGGTGATTTCATTTGGAAAAACGGGATCACTTCAAATTTGGTTTGAAACTGACCAACAATGTCATTAATCTAATCTACCATGTGAGTCAATCTAGTACACAAGTAGGATTGAGTTTTTTAATATGAGAATTCAGGTTTTGATCTATTCTCGTTGTATAGATGCATCTCCCAGCTATAGATGAGACAAATCTGCTTCGCAGCCAAACATCAATTCTAGCTCACATTATTGCCTCCTCACTCTGACCCATTACTGTCTATATCATCCATTTGGGCACTTGATCATGTATTATTCTATTTTATTCTTTGTTATCAGTTCCTTGAGGGCAGGAACCGTAACTTAATACCTCTCTTGCTCCCTGAAGGATACCTGTGTAAAATCCTAACAATACTGTCTTGACCTATATTACATGCCTATTGTGGGAAAGCATTTGATAAACCTTCAAGTCCAAAAGCAGTGTTGTAATTATCAGCAGTATGGTCCAGTAGAAAGAGTCCTGACTCCAAATTCAAAAACCCTCGGTTTGAATCCTGGCTTAGTTCCATGCCCCTATGTGACCTTTTTTCAATTAAGACTATGATAACAACAGTTGACATTTATAAGCATTTTTAATATTTATAAAACACCTGAAATACATTGTCTCATTTTGTCTAAGCCTCATAATGATAAAAAGTAAAATTACTGGGCTTCAGTTTCCCCATCTATAAAATGAAAGAGTTGGACTACACTTATCTGTGAGATCTCTGCAAGATCTAAATCCTACAGTTATAACATAAACAACAAGGCAAGAAGCATCTGCTTTGGCTTGGGGGAGGTGGGCTATGTATCATTACAGGCAAAGGCAACAGCACTAGAAAAAGAGAAGTGTGGAAACTAGTGGGAATGTAAAAGGGAAGGCAAAGAGCCCAGCAGGAGGCTGATGCTGCAAAGGCCTGTGGAGGGTGGACAGCTAGGCGAATCTCCCCATTTTACAGAGGAGGAAAACCTGAGGCTTAGAGAGGAAGTGATTTGCTCAAGGTCATATAGCTAGTTAAGCTGGAGTAATATAATAACTTTATATTTGGATGAAAACATTTAACTTCTGCCCAACCAAATCACATCTCGAAGTTTGATAACTACATCATACTTACCACAGTCCTTTGCTTGTTTGGCAAGAAAACTCGGATAGTATTACTTGTTTTGGAGGAATCTGTAAGTTTGCCATCATCTGATGCCCTGCGCTGATAGCCAAACTGCTGGACAAGAGTAGGAGAAATACAGCCAGAGCCATCAAAGACTGAATCTTTAAATCCAAAACCATTACTGATAGTCTTCCAAGCTCCCTGAAAATGCTCCATTGATGCAATTTAAACAGCAGTTAAGCCTAGCAAGAGAAGGACAGAAGCAAGATAGTTATAATTCTGAAATAATCTGTTAAAATAGCAAAAATGAAACAAATATCAAGGCCCAAGGTCACACAGTGAGTAAGTGGTTAAGGTAGAACCAGAACCCAGATCTCTAGTTTCTCTGCCCAGAGTTCTTGCCAATACATCATATTATTCTATGATGGCAAGACCACCTTACATTGGTGTAGCACTTTCTAGCACACATTTATTACTTTGGAATAAAGTATCTGTTAGTTACCAACAGTGGCAACTAGATGGTAGAGTAGATAGAGTGCCAGGCCTGGAATCAGGAAGACTCATCTTCCTGCTTTCAAATCTGGCCTCAGATACTTACCAGCTGTGTGATCCTGGACAAGTCACTTTACCCTGTTTGCCTTAGTTTCCTCATGTATAAAAGAGCCGGAGAGGGAAATGGCAAACCACTCCAGTATCTTTGCCAAGAAAACCCCAAAGGGGTCACAAAGAGTAGGACATGACTGAAACAACTGAACAACAAGAAGCTATCAACAGTCATCTGTTAATCTCTGAGAGTATTCTCCTAGTGATAATTGATAATCTTCCTGTTAATGCCTCAGCATGAATATTAATTGCTTCCCACCTTCAGCATATATACTGCAGATTGCAGTCACCTGATATTCTCCTCTGCAGACTGATGAAGTTGAAAGAGTCAGGGAAATGAATTTTAATCTTTCCTCTGACCCTTTAAGTAAGACAGCTTGGTACAGCAGTCACAAGACCAGGGTTCAAATCCTCCCTCTAACACTATACAGGTAACCTTGGGAAAGCTACAAGCTTCCTGGGCCTCAGTTTCCTCACCTGTAAAACAAGGGAAGGGAATGGACTAGTTAGCCTATGAGGTCTGTCCCTTCTGCCCCTCGATCTATGTACATTATATGCTTTTCAGTGAGAGCCACAGTCTTCATCTGTTCCATCACCAGATGCATGAACATCCCTCCCGTTGGCTAGGTGTGGTCTTCCTTAATGATCTCTTAATGTCATTACAATTATTTATTTTGGATTCTAATATACATTAGTTCGAAAAACTGTTACAAAAAATATGGTCTTAGGTAAAATAAGTTACATAATAAGGTAGTAGTTTTCTGTTGCTGTTAATTGCTTACTCTCTGGCTAGTACTATTTGTCTCTGTGACCTTGGGCAAGTCACTGTCCTCGAGGCTTGTTTCTTCATCTGTAAAATGAGGGAGTTGGACTAGATGATTTCTAAGACCCCTTCTAGCTCTAAATCTATGATGTTACAGCATTCCAAAAAAAAAAAGACCAAACTTTGATGAAAGGCAATGAATTTTTTTTTGGGGGGGGGGGTAAGGCAATTGGGGTTAAAGTGACTTGCCCAAGGTCACACAGCTAGTAAGTGTCAAGTGTTTGGTCTGAGGCCATATTTGAACTCAGGTCCTCCTGACTTCAGGGCCGGTGCTCTAACCACTGCGCCACCTAGCTGCCCCTAAAGGCAATGAATTGTGATAAGATGTGTGTAGACTATCACCCAAAAGAAATGGTTTCCTTGCAAGAAAAAAGTATCAAATACCACTGGGGGCTGGGGGGAAAAAAAGAGTACACCGAAGTTTACAAGAGTAAACTTAAAATATCATGCAAAGATACAAATAGTAGGGGGCAGCTGGGTGGCGCAGTGGATAGAGCACCAGCCCTGAAGTCAGGAGGACCTGAGTTCAAATCTGAACTCAGACCAAACATTTAACACTTACTAGCTGTGTGACCCTGGGCAAGTCACTTAACCCCAATTGCCTAAAAATTAAAAAAAAAAAAAGATAAAAAAAAAAGATACAAATAGTAGAACCATATACATGGTAGTTCCAAAATGTCACCAAATGATATATGAAATGAATTAGCCTGAACCAAATTCCAAGTATTACTATCTCCACAAAACATCTCAGTATGGATATCTGTCATTAAAATCTGAATGGGTCAGAGAAATAGCAAAGCTACCTCTCACCAGCCATCCTTCTATGGCCACCTCTCATGTTCAGCACCACAGTGGCCAATACTATTTCAATCAGCAAAGAACCTTAGACTGTTTGACTTATTCGAGCCACTGTGATAGAGAGGTAGCCAAGTGTGGCCTAGCAGTCTTCTGAACTCTTAAATTTCACCACTTCTTGGCTGTCTGACCTTAGGTAAGTCACTTAACCTCTTGGAGATGGCTACTGTTCTGCTTATATTATAGTTATTACAAGAATTTATTGAGGATAAACCTGTGATTCTTTAGAATTATCTCAGTAGACCAATGTAGAAGGTACAGAGAACTCACCAGCCAACTTGTGTTTTTAAAGAGATATATACAGAAGATGAAAACAAAGGAAATAAATGAATAATATTCTCTTAAAATATAAGCATTCTGGGAAGGAAAAGGCAGAGATAAGTATAATAATAAAAGCTTTATTTTAACTCACTCAGCAGAAAAGCATCGTAATGAGGCTCCTTTACACCACTGCACTATCAAGACTACAACACTATGACAACAATTGTAAAGTTGTTTAAACACAGCAAACAGAACAGTGCTGGATGTGCAGCATTGATATAAAGATTTTTTTTTAAGGGCTGGGAGTTTAACTAAAACATCAGGCACATTACAATGTAACAAGTAAAATTCTTCATAAAGTTCAACACAGTCCCTTCCGCCAAAAGGCTTATAAGACAAGGCAGTCAACAAGCGGGCTCTGACAACGTGACGTAAGAGATTCAAGGGAACGGATGCCTTCCAGCTAGGCAAGGAGAAAGATCAGGCAAGAGAAGAAACCCACAAGCTCAACGTAAAGGAGGATTTCAATAGGCAAAGTGTATAGGGGGATGGGGGACCAGGAGGATAAGGGAATCAGTTCCAGGCACAGGAGCGGCAAAGAGTAGTTCAGTTTGGCTGCAGAACAAAGTCTACCAAAGGATGTCCATGAACTCAGGCTAGGCTGGGAGAGCCTCAAATGTTAGCTAAGAAGTCTCTATTTTATTCTATAGGCCACTGAAGATTTTTCAGCAGAGAGAAAGATTTTGTCAGCAGTGTTAAGGATAGAACGAAATGCTGAGAAATTGGAGACTGAGAGACCCGGTCAGGATGAACATAAATTTCAGGGCTGGAAGGAACCTTAACGAGGGCATCTAGTCTAACTCCCTCATTTAACAAATGAGAAATGAGGCCCAGAGAGCTACGTAGCAGTGTGAGCACTTGCTTTTTCCAACACATCATCTCCAATGTTGTTACAATCGTTCAGGTAAAAGATAATGAGGTCTTAAACCAAGGTGATAACAATGAGAGGAAAGAGATGCAGGAGAAATTGCTGGGGAAAACTGCTGGCACATGAAGAAGAAAGGAGAGAAGAGTGAGGGATAATTAAGGTTTTAAGAGTGGGCATTTGCCTGGCACATAGTAGTCACTTTGTAAATGTCTGAATAACTGAGAGAATGGTGGTACCATTAAAGTAAATAGCAAACTCAGTAGGAGGGAGAGATGAATTCTGTTTTGGATGTGTTGTTGAACTGGAGATGCTAGTACACCATCCAGAGAAGTGGGAAGTGTGTTATAAGAATGCAGTTGGGAGACAGGACCAGAGACAGATTTAGGAATCATACAAATAAAAGTGATAACAGATGTTATCAGAATGGATGAAACCAGAGACAGAGAATACAGGTAGAAAAGATAAAGACTGAGAGAAGATTAGAACAAGAGTCAATATTTCCAACATTCATAATCAAAGGAAATGCTACATTTCAGCTAGAGAGTTGTGAAAATAAAGATATAAATTTTTCCCATCCGAGTTCATAAACCTCCTAAAATCTATCCAGCCCTTGGATTAAGAACTCCTGGATTAGGACAATGAATATACTTAAAAGGCAAGAAGAAAAATAACCAGGAAAGAAGAAATCAATTGAACAACAAGCATTTATTGTCTACTATATACAGGGTACTGTGCTAGACAGTAGAGATACAAAAACTAAAAAACAAAATAAAAAAAAAAAACCCAAAACAAAAAACAACTACAATTCCTACCCTCAAAAAGCTCACAGCCTACAACTCTATAGGAAGAGCCTACTACCTAGCTAGCTAGCATTTATACAAAATTTTAAGGCTGGCAAAATATTTCGCAGATATTATCTCCTTTTAAACTCACAACCACCCTAGAAGATAAATGCTATTTATATCCCTATTTACAAAGAAAGAAACGAGGAAGATAGAGGTTAAGTGCTTTGCCCAAGTTCACACAGGTAATAAGTGTCTGAGGCCACATTTGAACTCGGGTTTTCCTGACTCCGAGTCCAAAGCTTTGTCCACTGTGCCAGCTAGCAGACTATATACTGTTTTGTGTTAAAGAGGAAATTATGAGGAAGTAGAAGCCCAAAGTGTAGTATATTCTTTCTAGAGAAACAGAACGATAGCCGAAGCAGGTTCAAAGGAAGGTGGCATTTTTTCATTTCGGGGAGGAGGGAAAGAATCTAAATTTATTTAGAGACAGAGATTAAAGTACCAGGAGAAAGAGATGATTGAAGTTGAAAGATGGCCTGGGAGGATGATAAAAGAATAAACAATCTATCACTATTTAACAAAAACTGCTGGGAAAACTGGAAAATAGTATGGCAGAAACCAGGCATAGACCAACATCTTACACCTTATACCAAAATAAGGTCAAACTGGGTACATGATTTAGATATAAAGGCTGATACTATAAGCAATCTAGGAGAGCAAGGAATAGTTTACCTGTCAGATTTATGGAGAAGGGAAGAATTTATGACCAAACGAGATAGAGAACATTATGAAATGCAAAATGGATGACTTTGATTACCTTAAATTAAAAGGGTTTTGCATAAACAAAGCCAATGCAACCAAGATTAGAAGGGAAGCAGAAAGCTGGGAAACAATTTTTTATAGCCAGTATCTTAGACAAGGGTCTCATTTCTAAAATATCTAGAGAACTGAGTCGAATTTA